TACCGTTTACGGTACCTACCTGGTGCTGTACCGGCAGGTCACAGGCACCTCTAGAGGCAGGTACCTTACGTTTACCGTACCACGTCCTGTAGGCTGTCCCTATCGCCGATCCATCATCCGAGGCCCGTTGACCTGTGTTTGACTACTGTTAGCCGGGCCCCGGGGCCGTAGGTCTGCAGCAAAGAAGGTACCTACTTTGGTAACTTGACGGGGTAGGTACCGGGCGGTATTCATGCTGCGGTTGCAGCTGCTGCCTGCAGGTGTGTATCTCGATCATCTACGGTAAAGCTGCTGCGATGTGTGCATCGTACGGTGCAGACGACAAACCTGAGTCCTGACGGCTGACGTACGGTTGAACAGTGTACACATACAGCAGTAGGTACTACCGTACGGTAGTAACTACGGTATGCCCACCGAGGTGCACGGTATCTAACATAGGTACCGTAGGTCCCTACTGGCAACTCGCGTGTGACCTAACGGGCGCGTTTGAACGAAAGTCGAGCTACCCGGGCACACAAACAAATAATCCTTCAAGAATCAACCATGATAAACACACGCTTCGCACCCCAGCCCACCCTAACCGTCATACCTATCCCAACCGTCTCCCGGGCACCACACGTGCCTCACAAAAGTTGCCAGAGTCACGGTCGTCGGTGACGTTCTAGCGCCGTGAGTGTCGCAAGGCGGTACCGCAGGTACCACTACCGTTCCTATCGGCACAGTGTACACGGGAGTACCTACTACCGTACCTACTGTAGGTACGGTACCTGTGCAAACCTTATTTCGACACGACAATCATTGACCTCGGGGGTCCCTCTCAATGATTGAGAAGGTGACATCATGGCCGGGCGAGCCATGCTGCAATACGACTCTAGGATATCATACGAGCTTTTAATCCAACTCGCAGTAATTTTGAGCAGATTTGGGAACGAGCCCCGGCCCCCCAGGCTGAGGCCAGCCGCCACCCCAACCGACTACAACCCTATTAGGTACCGCCCCGGAAATCCCAGCACGCAAACTACTTAGGTAGTTACACCGTCAGCATCCACTAAAAAAGCCAGATCGGTCAACGATGCGGTACGCAGTGACGTGCACTGGCCGGGCATTGTACCATGGTCTATATTACATTATGTACGCCAAAATAGGATCATATGCATCAGCAAACTCCGCCAGCCGCCGGACCAAGCGGCCGGGGGATGCCCAGAGGGCCGGGGCCCGCCAACTTCCGAGAAACTATAATTGTACGGATAACGTTGACTACCTAGTACCTAGTATCCTACCTACCAGGTCCTACGTACTCTTTGTAGTAGGTACCTACCGTATTGTAAAAGCAGAAGTACGGTACCGGGCCTAGCATCTAGCTGGGAGAGTTTGGAACTCTGGGACCTGTTGACACGGAGTTTTGATCTCATCGGCTCCCAGGCCGACTGTTCCCCGGTCAGTCGACTGGACCTCTGTACCGGTCGGCTTGTGTCAGCCAAACACCTAAATATTGCCTCAATTTTGCCGGCTTTTCGGCCGACGCCACTCGGTTGAGTGGGCCGGGTGGCAATCCCGTCGGCTGACGTTTGCCTGGTGTGACGGCTCGTGTCGAATACCTGTGTAGCGTAGGTACCTGAGTACCTAGGTACCAGGGTACAGTACCGATTACTCGTAAAGTGTGTCAAGTTCCATATATGCCATATGGCATATGCCATAGGTTATGACTCATGAGCCGGAACCGTCGGACAAAGTTCACTGCTGTCGTCCGATTGCTATTATCGAACGGTATGCAGGACCTTATGAACATAAGTATCTATAGAAAAATGGGGATGAGCATTGAAATTTGAGAACCGGTACGGTAATCTGTCCGGTATTTCGGTACCCGTATTACCTAATCTCTTGATCGGTCCACAACAACGTCCTGACGTTGGGTATTACCAAAGGGCTACCAGTATCCTACCACAGTAACTCGTATCCACAAGTGACAATGGATACCCGGTGCATGAACAGCAATCCGTTGCTAAAAGTCACGAAGGCCGCCCCTCTCTTCGCACTCCAGTGCTTCCAATGCTGAGAAACCTCATAAACTCTTTGTCCGAATTCAGACCGCCGTTGCACCTCCACAAGCAATCGAGGCACAGTATTGAACATAATCATCAGATTCACACCCATTCAAAAAACATGCATGCCATACAAATCCATGATCGCTGCTCAAAGTAGAGAACGCTGCAAAACTTGTAGAAGCCCGGCAGGGACCAAGGATTGCGCATTTCCATTGTGTCAATATGCACAAACAGGTCAATTATTTTGACAAACCAGGTATCAAAGCATAAATTGTCGTAATGGCTTTGATCACCCCTTCGAATACAATGGTTGTGTGATCTAGAAGAGGACCATCTTTCTCAGATTTCTGAGCGGGAAACATACAATACATCAATGATGCATCAACGGTGTGAAAGATCCTGGAGGGCAAGGGCAGGGACCTTATTGCATTCTCTTCTGCCCATGATGTCAACACAATCATTTGGACTCATGCTCGGACCAATGAATTAGTCAACAAGACCAGGCCGACTGGAAGTACTTACAGCGACACGAGGAACGGAATCGAACTCTATTTCACAAGCTTCATATGTGATAGGCTTCCAAAGGCTTGTACATACAGGGCTTTAGAGGTCACAAATCTAGGGCACAATGTTGAGAGCAAGACCGACCTTGGCGCTCTTCTCCATTGCCTTTGTGTCAACCTCTGAAGAGACCGTGAAGGTGTTCTTCGGCCTCCACTCGTGTTGTATGAGAGCGGCGAGCTTTCCATGGTTGTCGAGCCGCATCTTTGTAAGCGTGAGGGGATCCAGCCGGTAAGCAGTGCCGGCGGTGAAGGTGTTCGCATTATCATCAAACTTGTGGGCGACCTCAACCCCGACTGCCGTATCCACATTCACCGAGTGATAGTAGCTGGCCGTCAGTTTGTTGCCCTTGTCCGCGCTGCAGAAGTCACAGAATAGTCAGCCGAACCACTTCCCGGTGTTCATTGAGGCTGACCAGCCATGGAGGTACATTGCTGATTTCTTTGCTTTCCCTTGGACGAAGAAATGCAGCTGCTCCTTTCAATACAGGGTCTGAGAAGCATTCACGAACTGCAGTGAATGGTACAATGATTGCCACTGCTTCGAAGATAGCAATTCACAGCAATCTGCTCTTCTGCTAATCTGGAGAGACCGATCCTTCGATCAACACTGTGTACGTCCAGAGCTATTCCTCACAAGCTGGCAAACAGACTTCCAATCGAGAGCCCCTGATATTCCATCAGAAGGAGTACCACTTTGCTGCTCAGAATACATAAATACATCAAACAAAAGCTCGCAACTTGAGAACATGGGTCGGAGCAACTCACAGGATCGCAGCTGCAGAGAAATCCTTTTGCGAGTACTGAACCCCTGCAGTGTACTTGGTCACTTCGCCCTTGTTGGTGTCATAAGCACCCTCGCCTCCCACCAGAACGCCATCCTTTCCGATGGCAATGGACCCCTCTGCGACTGGTGACTGCTTCAAACCAATGCTCCCCTTCAGCCCCACAAGGCCGCGCACATACTCGATGTCAAACTGCAAATAGCAGGGGACACGTGTGAAACTAACGTCACAATGGTTGCAAAGATTCAGGAACGCAGACAACTTCGGAACACAGCGTAAGTGACGACTTCCGAATACAACGTAAATCGCACAAATAACTTGCTATGTATGTGAGTTGCTCTCTGGACTCTTGCATTGCCAAGAGGGCGCACGGCGCAACTTATAGACGCCATCGGCTGGATAAGACCAATGTTTTGCAGAGAAAGACCAGCGTTCTGCAACCACCGCTCGCTTCGTCAACCGCGGTGGCCAAAGACACGGGATGCTTACCTTGCCCGACTGCGAGTCAGGGATGGTACCCTTGATGATGGCTTTTAGCCCTGGCGCCAGGTCATTGACGGTCGTGGTCGTGTGAATCTGCATTTATCAAGACACAATGACTTTTTCAACCACCTGGAAAAGCAGACGAACTCCGACATCCAAACATTGCACAAATGACTCGTGTGTTCCTTGGTGATCGCTGGAACAAACCCTGGTCAATTTCATGCTCTCCGGATCTTAATGCCCAGTCTTTCCAGATTTCAACACGTTGGAATCAATGCGATTGTGTGCGGCTGTGAACCAGCTTGGATAATCCAATCTCCTTAGAATATTGAGTGGTTTGCTCAACCAAATAATGTAATCTCGAAAACCTCAAAATGAGCGATGCTAGTGCCGAGATTTAGTACGCATTCAAATGAGTACAAGATCGAACCTCATTGATTGCCGATCTGCAAGAATTGACAAGCATTTGGCTCACCTTTGACGCCGAGTCAATCTTCCATTCAGTCTGCAGATTGTTTTTCTTGTAGCAGGCCTTGACCTCTGCCAATGCTGCCTCTCCCTTCTTTGTGCCAGTGGAAGAGAGAACCTGCAGACAAGCAAAAAACTTATGCTCGGGCACCGATGCATGCAGCCAGAGCTCTCCATTTGCTTTCAGGACAGCAAGTCCACAGATTTTGACATCCTTCAACTCGCACTTTTGAATTATTATCCAGTCAACGTAAGATGCACAACAAAGCTGCCACGAGGTCCTGAGGTGGACCAGAACTAGGATCTGACTATGCACACATGCCTCGTCCTAGTTTTCAATCCTGAGATTTGCAATGCCTGATCAGACAGGTGAAAGCCTAGTGCAAGAAAGGCGAAACCCTAGTGCAAGTATCAGAGATACATTGGTAACAGTATACCTTCTAAGGCAAAGCTCTTTGCCTGTCGACACCCTTCTGACTAATGCAACAATTTCTTTTCGCCACAAGCCATTTGCATGCAGAAATGCACCAGATCAAAGCAGATGACTCGTGCCAAACTCATGCAAAGGGGTTGAATACCATTACCTGGAAAATCCAGCAGAGCATACAGAAACTACAACTGTAGATAGCTTGCTCAGATATGGACCAAGAGGAGATGCTCAATCACCCATTGCAGAAATGAACTCTAAAATCAGAAATTGTTGTTGAGCTGCTCACCAGACCAGTGGAGGTGGTGGAGTTGATGGTGACCTTCTGCTCGGTCGTGAAGTCCTTGGTCAACAAGTCTGCAAAATGTCCTCTGCGTTGAGTCAGTTTCTTCCTCCCTCCCCTGACAACAAGCAACATCAATTGTCCACCTCCAGCAATGTAAACCCTTGCCTCAGCCCCAAGTGCTGCATCCAAATCATTGCAGCAAAGGTTAACCAGCGCAGTTTCGACCGAATAAACCATCAAACCAGCAGTTGCGCAAGAACCTTACCCTTGGTCTGCTTCCCAATGTCACCAAAGAAAGCAGGTCCCTTAGCCATGGCTCCCGTTGCTTCTCGTTCACAACTATATCTGCAGACGCTCCAATTCAGCAACCAGTGTTCCAGCAACCACCCTTTGCCTGCTGATCCTTCTCTGCGCGACAAGCCTGCCAGTGAATTCTGAATCTTGAAGTTGAGACTGCGCAGCTCAAAGGAGATTCTCGACACGAGGGTTAGGCGCGGTGCGAAACCCGGGTACGCTACCCTCGTTCGATTCCAGTGCTGACGTGGCAATGAATGTTCGGAGTTGGCTAGCAAGGCAGGTCAATCACTCGACCAGTCTGAGTGATATACTTCCGCGTCGAAAGCTAAGATCCGGGTTGAGCCCAAACGGACATGGTTTAGCCTCGGCGTTGCTTGCTCTCCGCGTCTCTAGATTCCTCCTGACGTTTCCTCCTGAGCCTCCGAGTCCGAGTCAGAGGCGTGACTTCAGAGCAGAGAAACTTGAGAGGAGAAGTTGAAGCAAGGAAGAGCGCCTTTAAACGGATTGTGCATTCAGACTGAAGTTCTCTGCTACTTTTCATACCGGGGAGACACCATTTCGACATCCTTTTGATCTTGCAAACAGGAAAGCAATGGCCCGTAGCAGAGGCGGAAGCCGACCAGGTGTGTATTCTTTCTGTTGGTGAAGTGAAGCTTCGACCTTCTCGGTGTGCCAAATCTTCGTTCTTCGTCACACGAGTCTTCGGAAGCTCTTGTGAAGACATCTTTCTTTCAAATACAAAGAGATATGCTTTTGGTGTTGAAACATGTCAAATCATTGCTCGATCACACTGATTCAGTATTTTGAAAGGCCCCGTATGCAGCAAACCTGAAGATATGGTCATTTGTGCATGGGTTTGTTTGTTTTACCTTTGCAGAGGCGCAAACTGGCTGCATCTACTTTATGTGGTGCATCGTTTGATGCGTGTGAATAGCTTTGGCTGCAAGGGGCCTGTTTAGCACGATGTGACTAGGCCTCTGGTCACATGTTGCTCTGATGCCTGATAAGGACCGCGCTCTCCCTTTCCAAGAGGTTGATCTGGGTTTCTTGATTGAGCATAATATTTCGACCACAAATGACTCATCTTGATTGTTTTTGCACCACAGCTCTTCAGGGGCCCGCTCGCTCTGCAGCAGAGGACCACACTTGTCCTCGTTGTGAAGATTGATATTTGATTCTAGATGGCAAATACTTCCTAGACTGTTTAATCCAAATAGACTTACCTAGCTGTTCTTGCACCACAGCTCCCCGGGCGCCAGCTCGTCCTGCAGCAGCCCGCCCGGCACCCCCTCCAGCAACGAGTGAGTTGTTTGCTTCCCTTCGCTTACCCCTATGTCTTCAGTGGGTGCAAATCTTGTGACGCCATGGTCGCCAGGGTGCAAATTGAAAGAGGGCCCTCGATGCTATTGGTCTTTTCTGTGTAAAGTTCGTCTCCGATGTCTGCACTTCATCGCAAGCATTTTCTTGTGCTTCAATAGGACCGAGTAGAAGAGTAGTCACGCAGATGTTTGACACCTTGTCGCACCCTGCGCCTTTGAAGGGTAGCGCAACGCATGATATGTTTCAGAGCCTCCTTGGGCAATCCAATCGTGACTTCCTTTCTTGTGGGAAGCAGGAGGAACTTAGCAGTTGGGGACTAGAAGGTGGCGCTGCTATTTCCATGTCCTAATCCCCCTTCTCTGCTCTATATTGGCCTAATTTTTGTCGCGAAGCGACTCAGTTACTGCTTGTTTCGGTGTTGCCCCATTTCCTGCACTAAACAGCGTTGCTTTCTGTGCAGCCCATTCGGCCCCCGCGCCCGCACACCATCAGCAAAGCAGCGGCGGCGGTTTGATGTCGAGCATTGGCTCCACAATTGCGCAGGGTGAGTTTGAATCTGCCATCCTGGCTTCTAGTTGTCGGGCTGAAGTAATACCTCTCTCTTTGGCTAAGATGGGAAAGGTTATTCAAGAAACATTCTGTTTGCTGTCTGCCGCAGCGGACGTCCTGCTCTGACATCTGTGTGAAGAGAAGGCGGTTTTCTGCGAAAACGAAGGACTCAAGGATTTTGTTGTCAAGGTCCAGCTGGGGGAGTGTTTCATGCGAGCCTGGCATCTGAAGTGCCACTCTGGTTTAGCCTGCCTTTTCATCGGTGTTGTGGTCAGGTTTTTGCTTGCCGTCAGTTTTGATCAGGTTGTGAAAGATGCTTCAGGTTCTGACTGGCTGGCTTGAGAGTGTCCAGGATCCTTGGAGTTTTCTGCTGTTGTGATTTGGTGTGATTTGGTGTGACTTGGTGTAAAAGGGGATGAGGGATCAGCCTATACAAGTTGTCAAATTACCACTCAGAAGAGACGAGCATCTCGTTTCAATCTTGATCGAAGCATCAAGCCCATCCGAGCCAACTGAATTGCGCATAACACTTTTCTTGCGATGTTTCGTTCATGTTTGAACGCCCCTCCCATTCGGCCCCAGCTGTTGAGCTTCTTGGGCTCCTTGGTAGTTAGCAGACCTTTACTTTGTCCGCTTCCAAATGTTACCTCCAACGATCAGTTGTGGTTCTTTAAATTTTTGCATGGGGTGTACGGCCGTTGGGATTGTCGAATCCGACAAAAATGATCAACGACAGGAGAGCCAGAATTCAGTGGTCGAGGTCTGTGTTTGCTGCTTGTTCACGGGATGTTTCGAATCTCCTCTGGTTTTGCATGTTTGCACCAAGGCCAAGGCCTATTTCCATAACTTTTGCCAGGCCTAAAAATGGAGATTCTATTGCGAGTGAGATTGTTGCTCAACACCTTTTGTTGCATAGGTTATTGAGGTCATTGGTTGCTGTTGCAGGTATGGCTTTCGGCGGTGGCAGCGCCGTCGCCCATCGGGCAGTCGACGCCGTGATGGGCCCGAGGACCGTGCACGCGGCGCCCGAGGCTCCTTCCGCAGCCGCCGAGCCGGCTCAGTATGCTGGCAACAGCGCCGCCCAGTTTTCCAACAGCAGCATGGACAACGCCTGCAGCAACCAGACGAAGTCGTTCCGCGATGTGAGCTGTCGCTTCCTTTGTTCATTGGATCTTTCTGCAGGTGTTCCCCCCCGCTTTTGCGTCAGCTTGGTTTGTGACGAGTTGGAACGGGGCAGTTTGCCGCACGTGCCGTCGTTCCCTCAGCCGAAAGTACAGTTGAGAACAAGTGTGCTCATTGGTATCGTTCTGCTACGTACAAAATGGTGAAGCCGAAGGCGTTGGGATTTTGCGAGGTTCAGGGACCGCTTGCAGGGATAAACGGAGACCTGCCTGGTTACCGGTTGCTTTTTGTGTTGGCAAACGTGCTTCAGTTCAAAATCAACGTCCCGCTAAACGCTCGGAGGAGAAGCGGGGTCTAAATCCGATGACGATAAGGTTTCTGGCCTGGGATGCGTTTTCCAAAGTTCATCTCATTTCTATCTTATCGTTTTCGGAGCTGCCCGAGCGACTATTGCTGGTGGTATTCTCGAATTGGATGATTTGCTCTCAAGATTGCCTACCTCTCAGCTCCGGCCTGTCACAGCTCGGACTCCCTTTCTTCTGCTTGAAGTAACGCGTTTCTTGGGCACACCCACTGCTGTTGGTCAATGTTTCCCAGGTACGGTAGCAGGTAATCAGGACATGAAGTGGCCCAGCTGCGCAGCATGTACGACGCCCCTGAACTGTACCAGGGGTCCTAAACGACCGGGGAAATTTGGTGTGCTTATGACGGGGAGGCTTTGAATATGGTGATTGGGGAGATTTTGATCATGGTGTTTTGATAAAATCGGAGTGCCTAAATCTATTGCCTTATGAGGATTATTAAGACGTTTGAAATTGTTTCTGCAGTGCATCGAACATTACGGCGACGACATCTCCAAGTGCCAGTTCTACGCCGACATGCTCAAGGAGTGCAGAACAAACAGCGGCTGTGAGTAACAGTGTTTGCCCTCGTCCAAGTCTTTTGCAAACGCACGGATGCCTCATAATGCTGTTGTGCTTCTACGCCCTTACAAAAATTTTGAGGGGTTTGTCTTCGTGCTGTGGGCAGTGCGCAGTACATGCCTTAGTGAAGTAGGCGGATCCGCATGATCGACGTCCTTGTGTTCGCTTGTTGAAGCTTTCCGATGTTTTGGTTATTTGACAAACGCGTTCCCTTTGTGCAGCGGTTTTGTAGGACGACCGCTCGTCGTGGAGAGCGTTCATTATGTATTCAGCATTAGACATTACCGGCCCTCTTTGGGGTTAGTCTTGAGAAAAACTCGATTCAAATTGTTTGGTCGCCACACATGAGGCCCGCAAAGAAATGACATTTAGCCTTTGAGCATAGAAAAATATTCATCAATGGTGGCAGGTTCTCGCACACTAATATCAGTTCCCGCCCATACCTTTCGACACCTGACATGTGAAATCAGTGCCAATATGCACTGACAGGCTGATGCATGATTTATACGGGATCGGATCTGTAGCTGGGAGCTGTACAGATGCGGCATTGCATGGCGCCAGCCAACCTGCTGCAGGCAGAGCTTTCGAAGTCGGTTAATTGTCATTTAGTCATGTAACGCCCATCAATCCGACACACTATATAACTTAGCATGATCGCATGTATGCGCGTGCACAAATAACGGAATGTGCAATGGATTTCAATGGATCTTCAGCTAGCTATATTTTGAATCGATTCGATCCGGCCCTAGCTCTTATATAATATTAGGAACCCTAGCTCTTCTTATATTAGGAATATTCCACATGCAACGCGCGTGCCAGTCGGATTCAAGCGCACATGCATGCAGCCACATCCGTATGCATCCGCTTAATTGGAGTCACTGCGCTTGGCACATGTGTGTCTATATGTGATAACCCGGGTCATGCCAGCCATGGGCCCGCCAAGACTCTCACCAGGGGAGACACGTATGAGGCTGCTTCGATCTTGCCTGAGTGATGCAGCTTTCAAGTAAGTGGCTCAGCTGGGCCGTGTTGCAGGCTGCCCTGCTCTTGCATGACACTGAGGTTCTTCTAATGAACGTATATGTATCGATCTATTATGCTAGAGCAAATGGTACAAACAAGCATGCGGCGAACATGTCATGCAGATGCACCACAAAACAGATCTCTCGTTATTAGAATATGCAGACAACCTTGAAGGAAGACCTCCTAGTGATTAATGGTACCGGAACTCTTGCAACGCAACCGAATTCTCTGGTTACACCACCTCTTGCATTAATCCTGTCATAGAGCTTGGGCGTAATGAATCTCCGCAAACATTAGCACTACTGTTAGGGCCTACCGTACTTTTCAGTCGTTGGCAAGGACAAGGAAACCTACTGCCACGTACAGCAAGAACACCGGGTACACGGCGAGGGCTTTCCGTGCGGGCGGCACAGCGGACGAAAGGAACGGGTATGCTGACCAAGAGCTCCAAGCCAAGGAGACAAGAACCACCACACTCCGGAAGAGCTTGTTGCTCCAGCCTAAGCAGACAAGTGCACCCGCGTCCAGGGGGAAGAGGCAGTAACCGAGCACACTGAGGCTCTGGAAGAAGATGATCTTGCCACCCTACAAGGAGCACAGCAAGAAAGATATCTAAGCACAAGGGTAGCATACAACATAGCACACATAGATCTGTCTTTGTGAAAACGAGGTCTGGAAGGGCGGGATTGACAGGTGGGGGACTGGGAGAAGAACCTCTACCGCAAAGAACTTGCGATCTTTGAAGAACGCAGATGAGTGTTCGAGCAGTGGGAAGGAAAACATGAAGCTGTGGGGATATGTGACAAAAGCAGGACGTGACAATTCGGTGCAGAATCCAAGTTGGTTGAAGAGAAAGCAGTGAGATCCAGAACATCTCAGGCGTCATAATTCAGATCCACTGATCTAAGGGGAATCTGCCCTTAGGCAGGATTAGTGCTGAAAGTCCTCTCTTCAGAAGTGAGATCAATTTCCTCCTATTTGAACAGCATCAAGTAGTAAGCAAAAAGTACAAGCATTTACTTACCAGAAGAATGACGTTGAGAGTCAAGACGACTGCTCCTGAGGAGAGGACTGCAAACACGACGGCGAAGACCACGGACTGCAATGGTCGAGCAAGTCGCCAAGTCAATTGACAGCGCTCTGAGAGGAGCAAGTTCCTCTGGGTTCCTCATCTCTGAAGAAGGATACTGATCAAAGCTGCTCCCAAGTATCCCCTTCACAATCCAATCCCCGAGAGTTCTACTTGACCTTTGATTCAATTGTTCGTGCTACTCAGGTGAGAACTTTCACTGTCTAGAAAACCAACTTGCTAAAAGCAGAGACTACTGTTCATCATCTTTTACTCTTCCTGCTTGCACTGACGTTGTTCTTCTCTTAACAGACAAGAAGCCGAATTCCCAAGGCCATGAGGACGTAAACGCAATCTGTCATCAACCACGAGCCAGCTTCAGAAGGTGCATTCAGAAGAACGTGCTGGGGCTTTTCAGAGAGGCGCCATAAGTTAGATCACCATCTCAATTGAGCTGCTATTAAGTAGGCTGCACAAGCCCAGCAACTTTTCTAAGGGCAGATAATCAACCGCATTGGATTGAGCAGCTGCAAAGCAAGTTCATCGGTACAACCCTAATGTGAAAAAGTGAGCTTCTGCTTAAATTTGCCTCCAGCTCGAGCTACTGGAGGTGGTGGTTCGCAATCAACCTGATCCAAGCAGACTCTGCAAATTGTATCTGAAATTATTCTAGACTTCTTCCCGATCTTCTTCAACAAGCATGCCAGACTACTTACTTTGTTGTGCGAGGCCGAAGACGAAAGCGTCAGGGCCAGAAAGATGATGAAGAAAAGCGGGCCCCATAGATCCCAGTCGCGCAGAGCCTTCCCTGGCTGCGCCCCCGAGAAGCAGGGAAAGACCACGGTCCACACATTGCTCGCCACCCGCAAAATGTCCCTCCTCAGGGTGTGCCACACAGGCTCAGTTAGGGTTGAGTGGACGGGGGCACTTCCGAATCCCGACGCAGACGGCGCGGCTGGCGGCACTGATGAGGAGGAAGACGCGCCATTTGGATTGGTAGAGACCGGAACCGGGGGTGCGGGCGTGCTGAACAGGCCAGCAGGCACGGGGGGAACCTGAGGAACTTTGGGGGGGCTTTTGGGGCGAGACGGGGGGAGCTGCTGGATAGGGATGGCTGGCTGGACACTGGCACTAAACAGCTGATCGATCTCGTCAATGTCGTCCCGGGAGTCCAGCAGCGCCTTGTTGGACGTCATCATGCTCCCATACATGCGATGCGGGAGGAACTTAATCTGCCCGATTATCAGGAACCTGCCCCCAGCGAGCCAGCACTCAAAAGGAGCCTCACAATTTTCTCGCCAAGAATGAGTTGAGCCACAACTTCAGCCGTGAAGTTGAGGGGCGGATCGCAGCGCTGAGCGGACACTTGCCATTGGCCCCGGTGGGCCTTGATTTATAGCTGCCTCCCCTTTGTCAAGGCTGCAGGCACCTGCCTGCTTTTGAATGGGAAAATACCAATTACGGTAGAAAGGCGCACGGCGGATGGCCGCCAATACAGTGAGCATATATTAAAAAGCTGCACGCTTATGACGGGGTAATTTTGCGCAGCCAACTACAATCTGTAATCGTTTCTGCGTGGCTTGAGTGGCCGATTTCTGTGCTCGCATGCCCGTTTGTCCGCAATACTCCGTGGACATTTCGAAGCGTATATCTGCGAATATCCGTGCCAGGAATGGTAGGATTCTGAATTCAACAATTTCCTGTTCCAACTGATCAGGGTGAAGGTGGGTGAAGGCGGCGACGTACACGGTACAGAAGAACTTCTGAGTTGGTTGGCGCACTGCACCTGCATGAGGTGCTGTGGGCATTGTGAGTGGTGTGGCAGGCTGCGAAAGGCTTTTCAGAGTGGCAGATTGCTTGCTTCAGGTTCCTTGTCAAGTATCCACAGGTTGGTCCACTACCATTGCAAATCAAAGAGGAGGCTCTGAGGCAATGGTTGGTGGCGTTTGGAGCACCACCTCGAGCAGGTAGGAATCTTGATGAGCAGTGCATGTTTGTCGGGAACTTTTACTCCTAATCGGTATCAGATTGTGGTCTGATGCATCGGTTCTGCATGCTGCTGATAAGCTCATTGCAATTGGGAGGTGGCTGCGACGTCCTCATCAGAAGTTGAAAAGCTACCATATCCAAGTTAAGGTTCTAGTATTGAAGTCGCCTGCTCCTCTTGTACCAGACTTGAGTGTAAAAATCGCATTTGATGGAAGCCAAAAGCATCAGACTTATTTGAGCACGATAATGCAGGCTTGCTTTGGTGCCTGCAGCTTGCAATCTTTTTGTTGGACTTTGTTCAAATGAGGCCATCTCTTTCAAATGAAACCAGGGCTTGTGAAATTTCAGCAGGATACGCTTCTCATTTGAGCTTTTAAGGACTCTTCTTCTGTGCAACTGCATCTTTAAATTGGCATCTTCCAGTGCAACAAATGTTGTTTTGATGTGAAAGGCACACCTGCGAAGTTGTTTGATGTGCATGATATAAACATGTAGGAGAAACAGTTGATGGTGTCAGGCTTAAACAAAAAAAGCGATCCTCAGCGAGCCCTGTTACTGAGGAACCTGATTCTACACTCTCACCTTGCAGAAACAGTTTGCAGCCGCTGGCACGCTGCAGTTCGCTGGCAGCTCAGCCATCCCTGAGGATAAGGGCAGTGAAACTTCTAGCATCTGGACTGAAGGTCGAGAATAAGTCTCAGATTGAGCACTAGGCAGCGAAGCAGGACACTACAACAGGACACTGCAAGAGATCCGTCTAGCTACATTGGGGGCCGCCTGTGAGTCCCCCAAGTCCACCTCTAGCTTGATGCTTCCCCAAGGGAAAGTCTCCGCTGCTGGTGCAAAGCGACAGAAGCGGAGCGAGGGGCCGTGCGGTGCGCTGGAGCTCAACCCCCCGAGCATGGCAACGGCCTCCGGACCGTCTGCGCAAGCAGCGAGCGCTGCCGGACAGCAGCACCGGTCCGCAGGGAGGTTTCCGCAGGGCACGTTTTTCTTCCGTGCGCACGTAGCAAGCCCTGAGGAGTCGGAACACGGGAAGCATGCGGAGCAGGGAGTGGCTCTGGTGTTCAGCCCGGGGTTTCCGTCGGAGTTCGACCTGCTCTTGCCACCGCAGGTGCTGCAAAAAGCTGGCCTCCGGCCAAAGCCACCGCCGGACGAAGCGGGGCCGTCAACCTCAAGCGCAGGGGTGGGTCCCGCTTTCTCGGAAGCCTAAATGGTCTATGAACACAAGGGAGGCACAAGCGAGCATGTCCTCAGCTGGTCTTCTGCCTCAGGTCACGGAGTTTGTACCGAGCTTCACTTTATCTTTGTGGCGTTTCTTTCTGTGCCACAACTAGATGCACCCGAGTCTCACACCTTCTTTGGTGAACAGGTTCCTTCACGCTCTGTGTTGTACTCGCTTCGTCAAACTTTCTCTGATTCAGATTGTTCAACCCCATCCACATCAGGTTCGCTTGCCAATCTCTGGAAATGCCAAGGGCGATTCTTATCCTTGTTGAAGCCCTTGTTCACAGGGGGATAAGGAAGGTGCTTGATTCTCCCATGGTCTGGTTGCTCTGTCCCGCAGGGATGTGTCCAATACAACTTCATCTCTGTACTTGGCAAAGAGATTCCGAGTGTTGTGTGGCAGTCACACAGATTCTACTTGCTTTGCCTGAAAGGCTTTTTTCAAACAGACAAAGAATCTTGAACAGTCTCCTGTCTTATTGCCTCACCTCTCTCGCAGCCTCTCTTCAGAGCAAGAAGTTTATTTTGCAATGGTGGCCCCTCTTGAACACCATCATACCTCCGAGTTCCTGGTCCGTCAAATTATGAATCTCCTACCTCCTCCTCATTTTCGACCTCCTTCCGAGTCTAGCCGAGCCTGTGACGCGAGAACGGCAGGCCAGAAGGGAGTAGAGCCTCCCGTCCTTTATATCTAATTTGCCTCGTCCCTTTTCCTGCCCCTGAGCACTCTGAATTCCGCAGAATCTGATGTTCGATTCCCTTAGTGAGATTCTCAATTTGCAGTTCGTGGAGTACGGGCCGCTAGACTGCTCGGTTCAACTACAGCTAGCAGGGAGCGAAAGCATCGTGACCGGCCGCTTGGATGCAGCCGCCCCCCCTTCCTCTGGCCTGCCTGACCCCCCCCCTTCGACAAGCTATGTCCCTCCAGAGTCAATAGTGGCGCGTGTCCGCTCCAGAAGGAAAAAGGTGGGTCGTTCTTTTGGTCCTCGCTCCAAATACTCTCTTCTTACCTGCACTTCGTATCCAATACTTTTCCAGGGGTTGTAGGGGCGGATAGTCGGCAGACAAGGCAGGGAAGCCCGATCAGGGATTAGTACCGGGGAGATTGCATCGTTTCGAGACGAACGAAATCCAAGTAGGAGCACCGATGAGTGTGCTAGTCAGTGTGACGAGTCAACCAAAGATGGAAGATTGATGCATAGCATGGGGCTGTATCCGGCAGTCAGCTGACTCAACGGACGCGTACGTAAATGGGCTTCGTAAGCTGCCTTTATGGAAGAAGGGCCGGTGCTGGTGGGATGTCAGAGAGCAAACGACCGGGGGCGAATTCCGAAAGCCATGCCTCAGAAGTTTCGACTTTTTGGAGACTGGTTCCTGGACTTGCTGCAGCTGAATTACTATACGAATAGGGGGACTCGATTCGGTAGGAAGATTGTCACACTGGGTCGGATTGTTATGGGTCAGACCCCTTAGAAAAAGCTTCTTTTGCAGCATTGCAGTACAAGGAGCGGTGCATCCTCACTTTACTGCCATCACGTCTAGCAAGTCGGCCACCAAGCAGAGAGCTCAAAGCTGGCACAGTCTCGTTCGTCAAGATCCCGTACCCTCTCCGGAGACCCACAAACAATCAACCCGTTGCTGTTGTGCGCACCATCGGTCAGGTTTTAGGCGTCCGCAAAATCACAGGTGACGGGTGCATATGAGCGTTCTCTGACGTCCGTTCCCTTTCCTGCAGAATCGAGGGCTGGTAGAGCTCGTAGATTACCAGGAGGCGGGCCCTGACGAAAAGCTTGAGTGCGGCTTCATTGGGCCCCGGGGCCTGTTGGCTTGGGGGCTTGGATTCGACGCAACCGGCTTGTGTCTTTTTCCCCTCAGCCAAGGGGGCCGAAACTTAGTGAGCGGATTGTAAGTGCCCGATCAATCACGAACGAATGTATCTCACTCTGCCAGGGGCAGTCGCGTGCCTCCAGTGGTTCTTTGCTAGGTGTGCTGCAATTTTGGGAGTTGCTTTCCTTGTCTGGTGCTCCTTGTCGGACTTGATTCGGCCAGAGGGTTTAGTAGCATGTCTGTGATCAAAGTTCAAAGAAGCAGAAATTCAGGACGGGGCTATCTTCACAGGTTCATCTTGCTTAATCAACGTCTGCTCTATGCATTCCGTGGTCCAGTTGCTTCCTGTAAGCTTATCTTTTTGCTATTTGCAGGACGTGACGCCTATGAGATGACGGAAGATGGCACTTGACTGATCTGTGGACGCCACAGCTTGTCTACAATGAATCATGTAACGACATAAGTAGACTGTTGTGCAGTATAGTTTGTAGCATAAGCGAACTCTTTATCGGAATGTTTACAACCTGGAGATTCGGTAACAAACGAGGCCCATCTGGAGCATTGTAAGTTTTGTGAGCACAGCGAGATAAGGACGTACATGCAGTATCTCCTTCAGTTGGATTCTTGTCTTTGTGCCAACAAGGAATTTGTGGTGCCTCAAGCACAAAGCCCAAGTCAAGCCAGCCCTCGCTGCAGCCATGTTTGTCTTGCAACACATTCATGCTATCTATCATTTGGATCTTCAACTTTCTCGCCATCAATCCAGAATCTATTACACCTTTTGGAGCTGCCGTCTGGCTGCTGGCATGCTGGATCCCAATGCACCGGAACTTCGCATCGTGATTCCTGTCACTGTATTCTAGCTAGGCCCTCGGATGAGTTCGGACGGTCGTGAGGGCCCCGGGGGCCTTGGCGCTTCAAGTGACCGTCGATCTCAAAGTTCTTACACGTCAATTTGGCCCGGGTACCGCTGAGTTCCAACCGTTCAAACTCATATATAGTACATATCTTAACCGAAGTTACAACCAGGGTCACCTTAGGACTAACTTCGATCGGCTCGGCTTGGGACTCCAGAGCGCTACTTGGTGTTCGTACCAGCTTGCGAATGGGCATACATGTATAACTTGACCGAGGCTCGAAGCCTGGCACTACCGAGCACTGCCAGCCAGCTGTAAGAAACCTGGCCCGGAAACTCTGCTTGGTTATCCAGCTTTAACCAGTATAGTTTGATTTAGCAGCCTGCGCAAAACCCGGAAGTTACACGAAGTGCGTACCGTCGATTTCGCTGCACTTTATGTGACACGTGGGCATTGACTAAGCTGGCTGCTCACCGGTGTCTATTCGAGGCATCCCCCGCCCCGGAACTGTCAGATGGATTCCCGTTTAATGTCGATCCAAATACAGTCCTTTGCAGGGAGGCAAGCAAGCGGAAAGGCCGGAGCCACCAACACACCCGGGGATCAGGTGGATTTCCCGGGTGGTGATCGAAAGCGAAAGTCAACTTGATCTGACATCTTTCGTAACTGCAATGGAGGGCGTTCATTGGTCAGAGAGTGAAAAATATCTGCGGGCGAGGACAAAAGTGATTCTGTCGCTGCCGCGGAAACAGTGATTCCGAGTGAAAAGATCTCCTGCGCAGCTGGAAAGCTTGAGATCGGTTGGCTACGCTTGCTCGACATCTTTTTCTTGATCCGGAACTCAATTCCAAACTGCGGCAAGATCTGATTCCTTGCACGCGTGACTGGGGGTCCACTTTTGGGTTACCAGAAGCCGCTCCACAGCGTTACAACCTTCGAACCACAAGCTTCACGCTGAAAGCATGCTGACTTGTGAAGATCTGATTTGTAACGCACCTCTAGAGTTATGCTGCGGTTGCGCGCTCAACGAATTGAATGTACCGTCCTCTTGAAGTTGCGGTCAAGCAAATGATCATTGGTGAAAGATCAAAGAAACATGGGGGCTCGCGAATCACTTTTCTCAGGCACTCTGTGCTGATTCAGACTGCAGTCGTTCTGTGTCCCAGTCTCTTCTAGAAGATGCGTCTGTCACCTTGGGCTTGTCTTGAGCAACAGGTGAACATTGGGATCCTGCAAGCAACACAACGGGCAACAGGCAACGGCCAAGTTGGGGATTAGTGGGACAGGTCAGAAGTGCTTTGCTGGAGGTCTTAGAGGCTGCAAACTCGTCTCCAAGTAGCACTGAAGTACTATTGGAAACTGTGCATTCAATCTGTGATTAGCGTTGTAGCTTGTTCTCGTTGGCCTCTTGCAGGCCAGTTTTAAACAGCAATCGCACATCAGATCGTCGCAGCCAGCCTGATTGAGAGAGCAACCTGGATTTTTAAAGTAAGTTTGGTCTCGTTTCCACACCAGTGTTGACAGGCCTAGGCCACTGCTTGTCTTTGTCGCACGTAGACTGCAAGACAATCTCCCCTGTTGTATCTTAATCATGAACTTCATGCTGTGTTTAGTCGCGCAGTCCTGAAGTAGGGCAGCATGTTCCTTCCAACTCCATCTTTACCCCCCCATGTCAGATGACATAGGCTTCATCCTCAGTCGCTTCAGTGCAACCCTGAGGTTTTTGGGGGTGGTCATGTCAGAAGTCCAATCAACTAGTTACTAGTTCTTCTTCACATGTATTGAGAGTGTACATGAAGCGCAAAACCGTATTGTCAGCGATGAGCAGCCAAACACACCTCTTCTTTGAATGATTCTGCCTGATGTCAGTGCTAGTCTCCATCAGCTACAGAGATAATAGTTGCAATGAGCCGTTGCTGAGCAGTGGACATTATTTGCCAGATTGCTTTGTCACCAAGATTTTGGGAGGGCATTTCTTCAGGGACTTTATCAGGCGATGCTACAGCCTCTCTCAAAATAGAGTATATTACCGAGGCCCTTACCAGGAAGAGCTGCTCTTCAGTAAGATTTTGGAAACAAGAAGGCTTGTAGATTCTGATTGTGAGGGTTTGCACACAACTTCAAATTTGAAGTTTGGACTCTAAGAAGTAGCCCTTTCCTTCAAAAGGTGTTCTCTTGCAGGCATCTAAAGATGAGCCACTCTTGAGCATCTCGAGAGCAATGGAAGGCCACCTTAAGAGCAAGAAAAGGCCACCTGATAGTTGCCGCCGTTTGGGAAGGGATTCAGCAGAGACATGATACTTGTGCCCCTTCCTTTCCAGGTCGGCAGTTGATGCAATAGTTGCACGAAGTTGTGCAATGAAGACAGTAGTTGCGGAGGATCTTTGCAATGAGGTTTTCCAGGCCGGTGCAAGCAAGGAGTTTTTGCCAGCAGCATCATAGGTGAGACTCCAGCCACTGGTGGTGTCGCCTCGTCAGCTTTTGCTGCATGTATCAATGATGTGTCCTTCTTCCACTGCTCCCTTGCGGTTGTGAGCTGTTTGCTGCATCTTCCAGCCCTCTTTCATCTGGAAAGACGCGGGGGCAAGGTTTGCATCTTGCATCTTTTGCCGAGTCTGGTTGCTGCCTGTTGCCCTGTTAGCTAGGAGCTTTGTGGTTGATGTTGTCAGTTTGAAACCTCTGGTTGCTGAAGACATGTCAGCATACGTGAATTTTGGACGTACTTGTAGATGCGCATCTTGAAAAGAGCGAAAGTTTGTTGGTGTTTACAGAGCAGGCTCTGGTATTTAGTTGGGAAGCGGAAATCCTGCTGACTTGCATCGCTGTTTTTGTATGTGAGTCGAACTGTCTGAGTATGCAAGACCCTAGGTTCTTAAGACACCCGATTGAAAGCGCACTGATTTTTTCTGCTTGGCCATTTTGGGTGTAGTTTCAGGGCATCTGATTCTCTCATCCTGGAAAGGGCGTTACAGCAACTCTTTTGCTGCCATGAATCAAGAATTGATGATGATCAAGACTTGTTCTTTAAACATGGGGAGGTTGTTTTCTGATGAAGTGAAGGCAGGCCAAATTCTTTACTCTATCCGCGTAGCCTTTTGGCGTTCTGAGAAACCAATACAAGGCCAACTTTGCAGCGACTCATGAATTCGGTTCCCCAGGACTGGTGCACTGCTGGAAGGTGAATGTTTCAATTGCATAACACATGCGGGGCGCACAACCGCGCAACTCTATACCATCATGTTACTTTGTTTTTGACCCTGTTGCCTGCTTTGGAAGCTGTTGAGCTACTTCTTATAATCTGCTTCTACTTTTGCAGGTCCAGACAGCTCCCTATCCACGCCTTTAGTAATCCACGCCGACATCTCTAGGCTGCTTTTGTGCTTTTTCAGGTGAGGGGCGAGAACAGAGCACTCAAATCTGTCCACGTAGTTTCTACAACAAACTTTGAGTGGGTTTACTCTGGGCTGCAAATTGTCGCCTTGGCCTTGTAGGAGTTGACTTGTTATTTTTGGGTATGCAAACATGTCAAACATGTTGAGCAGAAGCTTGTACTTCAGCTTGAGTTGTCTCTGACCTGAGGACCTGGAATATCAGGGTTTCAGTGGATGGTAGGTTCTGATCGGCACTGCTTCAATATTTGGTACAACCTGTCCTTTCAAACCAATCAAACGAAGTGAAGTACCAAATACTGATGCCCTCTTGAGCCCTTGACAAACAAGAGTCTCTATTGCCAAATGTCACTTTTGAATCGAAGTCCATTCTCTCTTTCCTCTAGGTCGATTTCGCACTCCTGCTCAAGCAGAAACCCAGGGCATGGGACGTTCAGACGCCAGCGATCCAAGCCGTCTGTACCGGCAGCAGTCTCAGGGAGCATGCAACCCGGGGGCACCGAGTACCGGGCAGATGCTTTCTCAACAACAGGGGGGTGCACGTCTGGAGAATAACATGCGGGGGCCACCGGCGAGGCCCGTTGGGGGGGGGCCACACAAAGGTGACAATGCTGAAGGGAATCAGAATGACCCTCGGGCTTGGGGGGGGGGAGTGGCGCCGCAGGCGCAGTACTGGAATCAGGGGGCCCCCGGGGGGTCGAACTTCCTTGGGGTGGGAGGCTTTCAACAGGATCAAAGGCCGGCGCAGAATTGGCCCGGAGGGGGGGCTGGCGCATGGAATGGGCCGGGGTTCTGGTTTCCTCAGGGCAACGTTCAGTGGACAAACGAAGGCCCGAAAGCGGGAAATTGGTCGACAGGGGGGCAGGAGGGCCAGGAATCTGCGCAGCCAGGCGTGCAAACCGGCGGTCTGCATTCTGCGAGTGAGCCTCGGTCGTCCCAGATGGGGGGGGGATATGGCGCTGGGCAGAGAGGGGGGGGTGTTGGTGGCCCTGGGCAAGCCCCCCCCAGGGGGTACTGGCAGGAGCCTTCAAGGGAGAGGCTACCCCCAGTTGAAGAATCTCGCGCCTTGGGTCAGAAGCAAGCCGAGTTTCAGGAGGAGAGGAGAGTGCCAGAAGCTCCCAGTTGGAATGATTCCGGGCAGCATGCACTCAGGGGGCAGGGACCGATGTCCTCCCACAGGGGGGGAAGGGGTTTGAACGAAGGCCAACAAAAGGCAGGGTACCAGTACGGAAGGGGGTCCGGTCAGGGCCGTGAAACAGGGGGGTTTGAGGCGCCTGCTTCTGGAGGTCTGCAAAGGGGGGGCTCTCTAGGGGGGTGGTACCATTCCGCAGCCGCTGAGACACAAGCAGGCGCTCAGAGAGAAAGCGCACACCCCCAGAGCCAGGAAAGCGAATCTGCTCAGCAGCCAGAGGCCTGGCAGCACCGGCAACGGCCTGGGACAGGTGACCGGCAGCAGGCGTCAGAAGCTGCCATATGGCAGCAGATGACTGATGCCAGCGGCTCGTGGCGAGGACAGCCGAGCTTCCCCGAGCCGGAGTATCGGCCCCAGAGCTCAGGGGGTCTCCCGTCAGACGCCTCAGCGAACTGGCCGCGCTTTCCTGGGTACGGGGGTTTTGGTGCGCCGCCGTTCGGTTTGGGCAGTTTCCCCTCGTTCGTTTCCCAGGGGTTTGAGCAGCCCCCGCAGGCAGCCCCCCCTGCGCGCCCTGACGCGGGGCGCATTGTGGCGGAGACGTTTGAGATGCTGAAGAAGGACATGATGGTTCCGCCCCAGTGGGAGGCATACCGCCAGGCTGCAGCAAACCTCGCCATGGCGTCGGGGTTTGCTCCCGGTCCTCCGGGGTTCGGGGGCTTGGGGTTCCCGTTCGGCGGGTTTCCCAGTTTCGGGCGGCCACAGCCGGGCCAAATGACCCCTCCGCAAGAGGAAGCCGTGCGTCCAAAGTCGTCAGAGGTGACTGTTCGGGGACGGCCAAACACGCCGGAGTGGTCGGAGGACCCGGGGGAGGGGGTGCCGATGGAAGAAGCGTACCAAAATGCTCGGCTGCCGTCTGGCGGGCAGGCGTGGGAGAGGGGTCCTGCTGAGCCTCGGGAAAGGAGCCGTGGTGAACCGGGTTGGAGCCAGGGCAATAGGCAATGGGAAGGTCCGGAGGAAAATGCAGCGGGGGGTCCGGAACGGTCTGGAGAGTACGGGGACCGTGGCGGGAGAGCGTCGGAGGGGCGGCTGGCGAACAGACGTCCAGCGTCCAACAGCCGCCAAACCGAGGAAGTGTCCGAGGAGAGAAATGTGCTCAGGATGCAGGGGGGGAGTGCCGCGGTGGCCAGCGCAGGCGGCGAAAAGCGCAAGCAGCGGGGGGGCGGGTTTGATCTGAACCTCGACCTGAACCTCAGCGTGAGCGGTTCAGAAGAAGGGGAGCGGTTCCGGGCGTCCGAAGAGGGGGGCCGGTTCCGGGCGTCCGACGAGGGGAATCGTTTTCGGGCGCCCGAAGAAGGGGCCCGGTTTCGGGAGTCCGGAAAGGACGGGGGGAACGGGAGGGATCCGGATTCCGAGGTGCGCGAGCATTTGCAGGCGGGAAAGCGCAATGCGAGGCTGGAGGAGGAGGAGCGGCGGCAAGAGGCGCAGAGGCGCCAAGAGGAGAGGGAAACAGGGGAGCAATGGCCGGCGAGGGGGGTAGAAGAGCGGGGTGGTGGGGCGCACTCTGAACCCGGATCAAGAGGTGGGTTGTGCTTTGCCGGCCGTTCTGACCTCTGAGGCATTCTGTCTTCGTGCATTTGGTCTCCTGCTCGCATGTCCCAGTTATTGCAGCCCAGTACTTGCACCACTTTCGTTTGGTCCCAACGTTTGCTGATGTAGTCCTCTTCTCATGACAGGGTGAATTGCAAGGCCCTGACGTGTTGTGCGTCGCTTGCAAGTGTCAAAGACGCCCGCTTTTCTTGTTTTGGAAGAAGCTTCTTTGATAGGTTTCTGAGGCCATTAGTTCTATCCTTGAGTAAGCCAACCGTCTCGACTTTCGCTCAAGTTCAGAGGTTCTCTCTTGTGCAGATTCGCAACATACCACCCCGCAGCAGCAAAACGACTCCCAGTTCACCGGGCAGCCCCCTCCCCAGCAGCATTTCTACCCCCAGGAACAACGTGGGTCCCAAGCTTCGGCTCAGGGGTCTGGCAACGCCAGCGAAACCAACCCCCTGCTCGGGTCCTTCGCCCCGTTCGCCGAACTCATGCAACACTTTGCCCCCCACGGACTTCCCCCCTCAAACCTCCCGCCCAACCAGAATCTAGCCCCTCCTTTCATGATGTCCCCCGGGGCGGGTCCCCGCCCGATGCCCTTCAACTCTGGCATGAACCCAATGGACAGCTGGCTCAGGGCGCTGGCTTATCAAAACCCGGCGACGCTTATGGCCGCTTATCACCTGGCGGGTTTAGGCATGCAGGCGCCCAATCCTCCGAACCCCAGACCGAGCATGCCTGGCTACCCAGACTACCCCCCCGTAACGGAATCGCGCCAGGACTTTGCTCCGCGGACCCTGAGTGGGGGGATGGATGTGAAGCGGCAGCCAGAGGGAAACCCCCACGGGATCGAGAAGCGACAGAAGCTGAATCACCAGGGGGGGTCCCACGGGGGCAGCAGCGGAGCGGTGAGCGATGCGGAGCGGACGGTGGTGAGTGACGGGGGGCTGCAGAGGCCCTGGAAAGCAGACCCCTGGCAGGCGCGCGGTGCAGAGTCCGCGCGGGAGGGGGGGGGAGACGCGATCGAGTGGGACGGAACTAGCACGGGGACGAAGCGCGGCCGGACCAAGGGCACTGTCGAGCCGCTGTTCCCGCACGTGAGCATCCTGCCGACGCCCAAGCCCGCGTTCAAGAAGCCGCCGCCCCTAGTTCTGTTGCGCGACGGGTCGACCGTCGAGCTGAAGAAGCTGTCGCCCGCCAAGCGGCGGGAGCTGAAGAAGGAGCGGGAGTCGCACCGCATGGGGGGGTCGGACGCGGGGAAGGGCTCGGGGGCTTCGGCGAAAGGTTCCGCGTCGGGGGGACCGGCTGCGGCGCCCAGCGAGGGGGGGGCTTCCGCGGAGCGGGGTTTTAGCCGGGGTTTGGAACTTTCGCAGAGCCCCCGTAGTACATCGGAGGAGGCGGCGGCGAAAGAGATGGGGCCCGGGCAAGGGGGCGACGATAAGTCGATTCTGTCGGAGTCCGAGGAAGCGCCGACGGTGATTAACGAGGGGTCGCAGCTGGTGAACAAGGAAGCGTTACCGACGGTAACGACGATCGGGCAGTCGAGTCGGGGGGACGGCAGCGGGAGCGACTCGACGGTGGCGGGGGGCCGGGCGCTGGAAGCCGCAGCGATTGCGGTGCCGTCGGCAAAGTCCAGCGAAGGTTTGCGCCCAAGCGTGAAGGCGCGCAACGAGGGAAGCCGGGGGGGCGCTAGCTGCGGGACCGAGTCTGGACGACTGGAGGGGAGGAAGGATCACGATCACGACGAGGACGACAAGGGGGATAACAAGGGGCCGTCTTCCGGGTATGTCGGGCAGGGAATGTCTTTGGGCGATCACGGGGCGGCTAAGGGAGCGGAAAAGAGCTCGAAGGATGGGGTTAAGGCGGGGTCGGGTTCAGGGTCGGGGTCCGGCTCGGGTTCGGACCGTTCTCAGGGAAGGCGGGTCCAGCAAGGATTGTTGAGCATGAAGATTCATCAATGCAAAGTCGTGGCTGCGAAGCGCAAGGGCTGCTTTTCGCTTGGGAGCGGGCGCCTCGCACTCAAGAAGGCTGGGCCCGGGGTTCCAGGTTTGGGGCTTGCTCGTCCAAGTTACTTAGAAAAGACCCACGCGTGGGGTGTACCATGGAAGAAACCACGTTGCATGAAGAATGTCAGTACGTTGCCGAGTTGGAGCAGAGGTGCGCTTGGGTTGCCACTTGTAGCGCAGTGACCTGGCAGCCCCGATCGGGTCCGACTGTTCTGAGATCATCGGATCGGCTTTAAAGCGCTAGGGCTGCAGCTACTCACCGTCGGCCTGATAGAAGTTCGTGACGCTGGGTCGCAGGTTACAGTTGGCAGTTGCACTAAGATTCAGCTGGGAGCTTAGTAGTAACAGGGGTGCTATTTCCTGGTTGTCTACCTAGATAGAGAGTCGTCTATCATGTCGGTACCATACGTCCTCAATTAGATCAGACCAGTTGTGAACATGAGTCTTTGCTTTGCTTCCTTCTGCTGCATTGCAGTGGAAGGGTCTTTGCCACTACGTTCTCTTGTTACGTTGCACCGTTGTTATGGCAAGATGAGACTAACATACCCCTACTTGTTCAGTATCTGCAACTAGCTCGTGAATTTTGAAGTCTGGCGCGGCACATTGAAAACCTAGGCGTTGCATGTAAGAGCAACAGCTACCTGTTATCTATTGCCAGTAAGGCATGCATTTGTGTAATGGTACACACATGTGTACGGACGCAGAATGCTCTGCATGCATCTCCATAATATAGCTCGTCGATAGTAGAATGGCACTCAACTAGCCGGAAGGATGCCAGCCTCCCATGCCGGCTACTTGCGATTCCCATGCAGGGTCGTAAGAATGTCTCTGGGCATCGTGTCAAAACATCTGTGCAAGGGCGTCCGGAACTGCGAAAATAAAACCGGCCACCAAGGGGGTACGACCGAAAAATAACCCGAAAAAAAATAACCGGCCACTAGGGGTATCCCGGTTCCGGATCGATGTAAACCGGATATAAGGGGATGGAGCCTGCAGTACCTATCTACTTAATTGTTGATTGTCGAAATATGACTAGAGGTTTATCGTTTTTCAGCTACTTTTCTTCGATTTGGCGCCGCAGTTGGCTTGTAAAAGGCAAAAAAAGAGCTTTAATATGTGTCTGGATTTATGTTATTGTGGTGATATTCGTGCCAAACCAATAGGTTCGAGACTGGTCGGTTGATGTGGCCTCGAAATCCCCCGCCGGTCTTGCAGGGGGCTGACCGGGCCAAGTACACACATACGAGGTTAATTGAGCAGTCGCTAATACGCCGGAAGTTCACAGGTTCTTGGGACTATTTCACGTTTATTAGCAGATTTCAGCCGGGCACCGGCCACCAGCCCCCTCAACTGATCTTGACAGAGCTCTAAGAACCGGCCACCGGCCCCTCCAGAAAAATTGCGAAAACCGGAGTACTCCGGACGCCACTGCACATATGTTTTGACACGATGCCCTGCCACCGTCTGAAAAGAACTTCAGGAGAGTCAGACACTTGATTCCGCCTTCCAAGCTTCGTGAGCATCAATATGATATCAATGATTGTGATGGCTCTATCGTGGACTCAGCATGGGAAATCATATTACTTGCATGCTAGGAGCTCAAGATGAGTCACAATGAGTCCAAGAAGCTTGATGCTAGCTTACATCAAGACCATGAAGTGGAATAAGACCACTATGAGGGATGTGAAGACAACTGCACAAAAGGCGGAGTCACCGTAGGCAACAAAGTCAAGTATTGGCTAGTTTCAAACTTGTATAAGGCCAACGACCAAATCTAGCCCGCTCTAGCTCCAACATCATATAATGCAGAGGTCAAAGAGCCGCCTATTCCGATCTAACTCCTCATGATCCGAGCGCAGCTACTCTACTAGATTGGCAGGAGACCCGACTGTGGGGCTTCGAGAGCTAGACAATCCCCGCTTGCCGCCCAACTGATCCTCCTTATCTGAGCCTTCACTCCTATCCTCCTTGCCATGATGTCGCCGGTGCTTGCGCTTCTTGCGCTCCTTGCGCCTCTTCCTCCTTGCTTCCTCGTCCTCGTCGGACGAGCCACCGGCTGCTCCTCCAACCACGGCCGCAACTCGCTCTTCTCCTACTCCATTTGCGTCAACTCCAACCCCGTGCCGCTTCCGATGCTTCCTCCTAGAGCGACCCTCCTCTTCCGAGGACGACTCCCCGTCGCCCCTCCTTTCCTTCTTCCTCTTCCGCCTCCTCTCCTTGCGACTTTCTTCACCTTCGTCTTCCGAGTAAGGCACCAACCCCTCCTTCTTCTCGCCATCGTCGTCAGTTCCGTCCGCCTTGCTCTTGCTCCGCTTGCGGCGCTTCCGCCTCTCCTTCCGCCGCTTCCGTTTCTCCCGCTCCGAATCGACCGCCTCTCCCTCTCCGTGGCTCTCATCAGACTCCCTCAGATACGCCCTCCGATCCTCCCCCTCTTCCCTGTCCTCCAATCGCCCCTCCCGCCGCGCCTTTTCCCGCCGCTCCTCCTCCGAGTCCGGGGCCTGATAACGGCCCCCATCGTCGTCCTCGTACCTCTCCCTGCGGTAACGGTCCTCCCTGCCGTAGCGACCCTCCTCGTAAAACCGGTCCTCACGATAACGGTCCTCATAGCGCCTCCGAGAGTCGCTAAGACTACGGTGCCGCCGCCGCTCACCGCTTTCTGCAGCATAAGCCGCGTCCTCGGACTCTCGCCGAGAACGCGGATTCTCGACCCTCTTTCTCTCGCCGTCGCTGGATCCCTCCAGCGTCATCTCCCGTTCGCTGCTCTTGCTCCTCTGCCTGCGCCGCTTGCCGTGTCGCCCCTCCCGCTCCTTGCCACGCTTTCCGTCGGCAACCGGAACCCCGTCATCGTCCTCATCAATCAGCGCCCGTTTCAGGTCCGCCAACTCCTTGCTGACCTCAGCGCTGACGGGCGGGGCCTCCTTTGCCTTGACCAGGCCCTGCTGCACGTCCGCTGCGCTCAAGCCCCCTCCATTCTCCACTTCGCTCTGCTGAACCAGCCCCCCTACAGGGCCCGAACCCTCCTTCAGGCCACCTGGCACACCGGGCACCTCTTCTGGCTCCTTCTCCTGGGGCTTTTTCACAGCGTCAGCGGGCTTGGGCGAGTTCTCGGCGGACTTGTTCACACCGCCCAGCTTGAAGCTGATGCCCCCGCTCACTTTGACCCCCTTCCGCGCAATCGGCTTCATGGCCCCCTTTGGCGCCACGAAAGGCAGCTTCCCGCCCAAAACCCCAAACTCCACTTCCTCTTCGTCTTCCTCTCTCTTCCGAACGCTCGGCAGCGGGGGCATGTCGTCATCGTCGGACAAACCCCCCAGCTTCGGGGGTGCCTTCGCGGCGGGGACTGCCGCTTTCTTGACGCTGACCTCAGCACTCGCCGCAGGGAGCGCCGGCCCCTTCCCGCTGACGTCAGCAGAGCTGTGCGCCCTCCCGTCCTTTTGCGAGGCGGCTGCTCCGGTCCCAGATATTCCAGGCACTTGCGCTGGGGCTGCGGCTTTCTCTGCTTCGTCAACCAGGGGCGTTTTAGCCGAGACTGCGTTGGTGGTTAAGGCAGGTTCCGCAACGTCCCTAGAAGCGGTTCTGCCGCCCTCAGCAGCAGAACCGTCAGCTTTTGTCCCGTTCTCGAGGTGAAGGCCTCCTCCCAAAACATCACTTCGCTTGCCGGCAGAAGCCCAACCAAAACCCAGCTTTTCCTCCTCAACCTCTGCACCCCCCGTGTTCACAGCGCCCACTCTCACAGACTGCGTCGCGATGCCCTGCCCTTCGGGGAACTGAGCTCCACCGCCCCCCTTCTGAACAGCTTTCTCCGGTCCGTTCACGCCCGCCAACCCCGGCATTCCGGGCGCCTTGGAAGGGCTTTCCTTGCCGTTTGGGACTCCGACCTCCTTAGCTGGCCGCTCCGTTTCCTCGACAGATCCCCTGTCAGCGTGTCCAAGCCCCGGCTGTTCTGGGGGCTGTCCTGAAGCATCTGAACGGGGAAGAACCAAACCGCCCACTTGGGTTTCTGAGCCCATCTGCTTTTGTACGCCGATCAAATTTACGGTCGCCCCTCCAAATATCGCCTCGGAGGATTCAACGTCCTTCTTCTCTGGCCTCGGCCCGCTCTCGGTCTCCTCCGTACCTCCAGCATCTTGCCCAATAATGCCTAGCGTTTCCTTCCGCCCCTCCCCCTTCTGCCCCGAAACCTCAAACCCCTTTCCCTCTCCTTGCGCATCACCCCCCTGTTTCCTCTGGTTCCCAAACCCCTCCCCCTGCTCCTGCTTCTCAAACCCCACCTCTTTCTCCTGTTTCTGAAACCCCCCCTCTTCCTCCTGCTTCTTTAAACCCCCCTCTTTCTCCTGCTTCTCAAACCCCCCCTCTCTCTCCTGCTTCTCAAACCCCCCCGGCGCAGGGGGCGACACCAGCCCCGCTTCTCTCTTCGCCGATTCCGCGCGCCTCTCCCGCATGCTCCGCTCCACGGCCGCTCGCAGCGCCCGCTCGATCGCCCCCGGAGACTCCTCTCTTTTCGGCGCTTCCTTGCCGGTTTTCCCTGCACCTTTCTTTCCCGCCGCTTTGGGCGTCCTCGCCCCGGCTTCTTTTGGCGCTTTCGCTGCGGGCTCAGCGAACTCGCCGCCACCTCTCTTCCCCGCTGGCCCCCTTCCTCCTTCGCTCTTTGTCTGGGGCGACTTCATTTCTGGCTCCTCAACATTTCGCTCCCCTCCCTTCCCTTCCTCCAACTTCGGCACTGCAACCCTCGACGCTTCCAAAACCGCCTGCCCCTTCCTCTCGTCCTTATCATCGGTCTCCGATTTCCTCTTCACCGCTCCAGAATCGCGTCCCGGATCCCTCCCTTCTGGACGGTCCTCCCCTCTTTCTTCCCTCTCAGAAGCCCTTTTCTCAGCAACACCATCCCTCCGTCTCAGGTTCGGTTCCGCCGAGAGACTCCTCAGACGTGTGCTCCGTTCCGGCGTCCGACTCCTTCTCTTCCCCACGGGAGACTTCAGATCCTTTTCATCGCCACCCCCCCTTGATCGCTTCGACTCCCGGCTTGGAGATCGTTTCCTCTCATCTCTCCCCCCCCTGCTTGGAGACTCCCTCCTTTCCCCTCGGCTCCCTGACCGTTTTCTCTCCTCCCTTCCCCCACGGGACCGCAAGACCGAGCGGTCCCTGCGCGGACGACTCGGCGACCGGTCCCGCCTCGACCGATCGTCCCGCGAGCGAGGTGGATCCCTCGAGCGGTACCGTGAACTGCGGCGATCGCGCGAAGGGCTGCGGCTGTGCCGGCGGCGGGAGCTGCGGTCGTTGGAGCGGTAACGGCGCCGGTCGCGATCCCGATCGGGCTCGTCCCGACGATCACGGTCACGGTCGCGGGCGCGGCGCGAGTCGAGACGGTCCCGAGAGTGGTAGCGCCGGCTCTCATACCTGTAACAACAATTCGGTTAATAAGTGACGGTACTTGAGTGACAATCCGTTGTGAGCTAACAAAAGCACAACACGCCCAACAGATAGTACTCAAGCGGATAATAAGTGCTTCATGAAGCTTAAGCGAAGCATTGGCAAAGCATCAGTAGATAAACCAGTAGATAGACCAACTGGGTGTTTTCTGAAATATTGCTTACCAACCATCTCCATGGCAGTACCATTTGCAAATCCTACACCGTCACCAAAAGCCAACACTCAAAAGCTTCTTTTCGTGCTTTCGATAACCAATTCAGCTGCTCAGAGATCGCCAACCAAAACCATATACTCACCTATCTCTGCTCTTCTCTCGCCTGCCGTCCCGTCCATATCGAGGGGGTGACCTGCTAGGGTACCGCCGCCGCCTGGGAGAGGGGGACCTCATTCGGGGGGGTGGCGAGTAGCTCTTCAAAGAGCGGGGCGAATTACCCCTGCAAAACAAGGGATGCGTTCAGCAGGTATACACGCTGGCCTGCCGAGGAACAGCTTTTCAAGAACTTGCGAAGGCATGTTTTGTTGGACTACCCAACGAAATGATCCGTCTCGAATAATGCAGAAGCAAAACTTCCATGCTTTCACATTTCCGCTCTGTTTACCAAGAGTCTGTGAAGTGCAAATTGGATTCTCGCAATCAAGCTGCTCTGCATCAGCCTGGATATCCGTCAAAGAGCAATTTGAATATCGCTCTGCAAACGGATTTATTGTTTTGTGACAGCAAATTTGCTTGAGAAGAAATGCAAGAAGCGCGGACGACCTCAGCGAATAAGCATTTCCAAGGCCGGGTCGTCCGCGAATGACGACAACTATTTGCCCAGCTTCGATGAATAAAGTATAGGTTACGTCCAGAGCCTCCGACACAGTTTCGAATCGACGAAAGATCATGTGCAATGCAACAGACTACAAACAACTCAGACATATGCCGCATACTACAAACAACTCAAACACATGCCGCATTCCCATGCTCACAAAGTAAGAAGCACATATACTACAACTGCACACACCGTCAAATCACAAGGAGAGAACCGTTGCACATGAGAAAGGAGATAATCAGTCCCTTAAGCACAACTCACCGCTCCCGGTCCGAATCGTCTCCTCCCCCGCCCCCCAGCGCCTTCAGCTGCTTGCTGAGCTCCAGTGCGCGCGCCTTGGCCATGTCAGCGGCCATCTTGGCGGGGTTGCGCGCAGCCGCCATCTGCTGCGCCGCTAGGGTCTGTTGCGCGAGCGCCTGCTGGTACTGCATCTGCTGCAGCTGGATGGCCTGGAAACGAGCGCGAGGATGCACGTGAATATACGGAATAGTGACGCTTCCAAAAGGACATTCAGCAGCTTTTTGCAGCCTGGTAGAAGAAGCGACGACTTCGAACTCAAGCGTGTATCGAGGTGCCGACCAGAAAGACCACCCTCCTTAAAGTGGCACACAACACTCAAAAATGGACTTTGGCCTTCATTCTAACTGGTTTAATTCCTTCCGATTGCCCCTTCTTACTTTGTGAAACGCGAGACTCACTAACTCCCGTCGTCACTTCTTACTTTGTGAGACGCAGGACTCACTAACTTCTGTCAGCTTTGACGATTTCGGTAGGTCTTTACCAAGCCAACAACTACTCTTCCCCTGCCTCTCCTCGAGTTGCATCGCACGAACGCAGTTGACAGGACCTCCTCGTACGCGGAGGCAAACTTTTCAAAGGGCAAGCGAACCTCGCTCAAACGAAAGACTGCGATACAGGATACCATGCAGCTTTTGCTACTCTGAACCAATCACCTTAATGCACCATCCCAAGCGCACGGGGCGGAGCCTGGCCCCGGCACTTCCCTAGTCCCGTGAGGGTGGCCCCCTGCACACAGCAACATGATGACAGGGGTCGGACACAGCAGTCCACGCCCTCGATTGATCAAAACCTGAGTACCTTTGGTACCACTGACCTCGCTATCTCACCCCAATGAGAGACCTTCGGATGGCACCCCTTTGTCAAAAACAGCAAAACCGCAGGCCACATGAGTCCAAAGTCGGACGCGTGGGCCGCCTGTCGGAAGGACCCCCCTCGCAGACTATCTGACGCAGAAATGCTTGCCGCCTCCTGAAAATGATTAATACCCAGGAACCAATTGAAGCCCGTAAACAAAAGAGGAGGGGGGAAAGTGGCAACCGCAACACACCTGCTGCATCAGCTGGAGGGACGACGCGATACCCCCCGGGTCCTTCTTGCTCTTCTTCTTGAGCACCAGCTTCGTGTGCTCCACTTGCACTTCACGATCCCCGACCGCGATCCCGTTCAACTGCAGCGCCGCCGTCGCCTCTTCGGGCTTCTCAAACTCGACATATGCCTCGCCGTCAGCGATCGAGCACTCGACCACTTTGCCGCAGTAACCAAAAAGCTGGCGGACTTGCTCGGCGTTCACGGAGGGGCTGAGATTGCGGACTTTCAGCGCACGCGGCTCGTCCAGGAACGGGTTGGCGTCGTTCTCGTCGTCCTCGTCAGCATCGTCCTGGCCGGCGGTTGCGGCCATCGCAACTTGGATGACGCGCTGGAGGGCCTGCAGGCGCGTAGCGGAATCGTGATGAGATGCTTGTGATCAACATCAGACTTCCTTTCGTTGCTTTGACGCTTTTCCAAGTTTGGCTGAACCTGTTGCAGAAAGGAGAAGTGCTTGCAATCATCGGACTTACTGCAAGTACACTGCATGCACGTCTTGAATACAAATCGGCAAACACTGTTTGGATAGAAAGCGAGACACAAAGGTCCAGTGATGACAGAAGTGCAGATCTGCCAGGATCAAGATCAGAAGGCTACTCAACTCACTTGCAAAACACAAAGAATATATGTAACATTCAAAGTGCAATTGAGAATACCTCGCGAGCCAATTTTGGCAGCAAAAGTCACGTTCTGCCACCAAGTAGCATGTACAGATCTACCATTAAAGGTCATTCACTTCTTTTGTGCATGTTCAGAGCGACATCCAACTTGAAAGAGACATGACTGGAGCAAACCCTAGTTCCACCACATAATCAAAGCTCTAATAAGAAAGAGATGCAGACAACTGGAGCAATATATCCACACAAAAGCAATTGTCAACCGGCGAACATAAGTGCAAAAGCAAAACAAATGTAACAAATGAAGCAGGCCATGGGATATGCTTGTTCTCAACCGCGCAGCTGCAATACATAAAAGCACTTTGGCACCCTTGAAACACACACCTCTGAAAGCAGATATAATAAATCAGAGCGTATCATGTCAACAGATGAATAAATCGTACCTGCGCAGCTGCGATGCTCTGCGCTGCCGCCATAGCCGCCGCAGACGGCGCCATCGGCATGCTCGTGAGCGACCCCATGTTCGCACCAGATGCGAACGCCGTCATTAGCTGCTGCAGCGTCGGATGCGCATATCTGCAGGGCGTGTTCTTGCACTTCCCGTCCAGGTACATCCTGCACACCTCACCTAGCTGCGCCCCTACCCCAGGAAGCACTGCACCCCCAGTAGGCCCTGGTAGGATCCCAGGCAGATTTCCCAACCCTGCCGGCAGACTCAAACCTGTCGGCACAGAGATCTGCAGGGCCCCCGAGGCTAGGAGCCCTGCTTGGCCTGGAAGGACTCCACCTCCACCAACGGGGGTTGCGGTCGCTGCCTGGAGAGGGGGGGGGGAAGCCACCGCTTGCGCTCCAAAGAAAACGGGGATCGGGCTACCCGAGATGTGCCTCCCATTGACCTCCACACTGACCATGTAGTTCCCCCTGTTGTAAACCGTGTAGCTCGTGACATATGTTCCATCATTCTGGTCAACAACTGGAGGCTCTAACATTGGCCCTGCGACCCCAAACCCAGGGGCGACCTGGACCTTAACTTGAGCACCCCCCCAAGAAAGCCTCCGGCCATCCGGATCTTTGGCAGTCACGATAATGGTTGCAGCCGCAGACAGCACCCCTCCCCCAACACCTGTTCCGGTTGCTGTGCATTTGCTGGGGTCAATTGGGCCAATAGGCTTAGAAGAAAGGTCGTGCTCTCCGTCCTCGTCTGATGATTCATTACCACTAAGGTTTGGGTCCACGTCCGCAAACGTCGCCTCAAAGGCCTGCTTGAAGGCCAACTGCTTGCCCTCCTCCTCCTTGAGCGCCTTTGCTTCTTGGGCGCGGGCCCAAGCAGGCTTCGGAGGGCTCGCCATCAAGCTCCTCTAACCCTGCTTTATTCCTGCTTTATTCACAGCACACACCAGATCTCATGCAATCAAACCGCAGCAGACCAAATACCGCAACATCTCATAGATCTGTGACGCTTGCCCGTTCAAGTCTTCGAGAAAGTCTCTCGCTGGACCCAGTACTTCCTGCCAATCTGTTCCGCCCTCTCCTGCAGATTGTCTACTTGCAACTTCAACACTGTGGCAGATCCATCTCAGGCATCAGGAGAGACGCCCCTATCAGCGCGTCTCCAGCGCGTCAATGAGCCGCGTCAGCTGGGCGCCGTGCAGGCGAAGACATATTTTAGCCCCTACTTTTGAGTCGTGGTACGGGCTCACCTGGGCCCACCGTGGGATGGGCAGGTCCTGAATGGAATCGGACGGGACGACAGTATCGAACGGCTCATCGCAATCGTTGGTTGCCGGTGACGGCCCAGATTTGAAACCGCAAATGTGCCCAAAGTTGGCCTCTTATCTCTTGAAGTTGGAGTCTGCTGGCAGAGAAGATGATGGCTGTGCGAGTTGCATTCACTTTCACTGTCAGGAATCAGGAGACATTACTTCCTGAGATATTTGCATGGCGCCCTTCTTCCTGAGCCTGAGGCTTCGAAGTGCTTTGGTTTTGGTTTGGGCACGCCGCTAAAAACTGATCTGCAAGCTTGAAAGTAGGCAGGCTCCGGGTTTTGCCTGTCTTCAAGCTTAGAGCTTCGGGGTCTTTGACGTGACTAAAATCATCCGAAGTGACGGTCCCGGTGACGGTCGTTGCATCACAGAAAGTCCTGCGCAGCACATTCAGTTTTCAGAGGGCCTCCAAGATCTCACTCTGCAGGAGTTGTTTTCTTTGGTGGGGAACCATAGACCAACAGAGCCAGCATTTTAAATCTTTCTTGAAAGAGGGCTGCGGAGGCCTACAGTTACAAGGGTGTGGGTAATGGTAAAAGCTCGGGTCGTCCAAGGGCCGTCGTCGTAAAAGCTCAGGTGTGAAAGAGGTGAGAATAAACTTTTCGATGCAATTTTACTTGCTCTTGAGAAATTTCCCACTTTCATGGAAATATACAAGCAAGCTTCTGGGTAATATATGAGTTGTTTATATGCTGTTCTCATCAGCGGGTCTTTGATCTGCGCCACTTTGTTTTGGGTCTTTGGATCCGTGCCAATCAGACAAATTGGGTCGGCCAAACTCATGGACCTGGGGGGCGGGGGACAGACACAGAGAGAGCAACATTGAGAGAGCAATACAGCACTTGTGTCTCTTGGTTTCTGCGACGGTGAAGAACTGTGCAATGTGCCGTGATTTGTGGACCATCTGCACGTTTTCATCAGAACACAGTGCAAGGTTCTTTGGCCCCAATTCCTTGGATGCTGAAGCAGCGTTTTCTGGTGGTTCATCCGTTTGTGTTTGCTGGTACTTAGTCTCATTGCAGTTGATTGTCACCAAAGCGCTGCCCCTTAGGTTTTCAAAAGGAGTGCATCAACTCTGAAGCAAGGGTTTTGAAGGGCCTGCCTTATGGTGCTGTTCATTGTCTGTGCCTAAGTCACTAAAGTGAAAACAGGTCAGGTCTTTTAAAAGCAAAAGGGGCATTTAACTTTATCACTGGCCGAAAGCCCCTCATCTTCCCATGACCTAAATAGAGGTAACTTCCCAGCTTACACGCTTACACCGATTGCTCTGAGGGGCACCGATAAGGAGCCTGGTCATTCTATTGGCTTTCGAACATCAAATCACACCGGTGCCCTTGCGTTTCTGGCAAGACCTCACAGCTTTAAGCTCAGGGTTGCTAAAGCATCCATGTCATGAAGGTTTTTTGTTGCACTCGGGGCATTGTATTCTGAAGTTCCGGCATCAATTCACTTCTGCAGTCTACCCGCTTAAGAGCTGACTCCTTGTTACTAAGAAGGTCCTTCTTTGCCTCACTTGTGTTAAGTCATAATGAATGAACGCCCACGCAGCTCCTTATGACGTCGTAGCAGCCCCATGCTTCTGATCAGCGCGAGTTTCTCTATGAGAAACCAACATCTTAACGCTTGGATGTTTTCTGGAAGACTTTCGATCTTGTCCCTTGTTCTGAATTTGCCTTGTCTCCCCCAAGCAGATCGCCGCTCACCATGGCTGCGGCGGACGGCGCATACTCCACGGCCACCGCCAACCGCGAGGAGGCCGCGCGGGCGCGCGAGATCGCGCTGCAAAAGATGGCGGAGAAGGACTGGGAGGGCGCCAAGCGCATCTGGCTCAAGGCACAGCGCCTCTGCCCCGACTTGGACGGGATTGCGAGCGGGATCGCGGTGGCGGAGGTGCACATCGTTGCGAACGGAACGGTGTACACGTCGCCGCACAAAGAAGTCACCAGGGACTACTATGGGATCCTGGATGTCAGGCCTGATGTGGGCCGGCCGGCGCTGATGCAGCAGTACAAGAAGCGGGCGTTCCAGCTGCATCCGGACAAGAACCAGGTGGGAGGGGCGTGGAGTTTGGAATATGTTAAGGACATTTTGTGAAGTTGGGGGGAGGCATTTTGGGGGATCTTGCGGGCACTTCTTGAAGACAAACGGAATGGTTCAGTCTCATTTTGTAGGATGGTGGTGAGGTTTGTCGATTGCGCTTGGACTCATAGGCAGTTGCTCATCCTCTGCAAAGGCGCAAGGTCTTGGGTCAAGGGAGGAGTATCTTTTTGGGTGGTGATCAGCAGTTTCTACAATTCCAGTTCTGACAGAATTTTAAAAACCAGGGAAAAGATGGCGATCTTCCATCAATGAAGTCATTGTTGTATATGGAGCCTATAAGACCCAAGAGCGATTCATTTACTATCTTGGGCTTTCGTTGATGGTTGTATGGATTTTGGTCGATCAATCGATCGCTACTTGAACAAGAGGCTACAAATTCTGTTTGCTTTGCGTAAGATGAAAAATTTTGCTTCTCACCTCGCGTCTTTGGGCGTACTTTTGAGTGGATGAGTTCCTCACAATGAAGAACAAACTTTTGCACTCTCAACGTATTTCTGGGGCTTTTCACAACCTTAAAGTGCATCACATCGACAACCGCTAGCCTTCGGTTGGAAAGTCTACTGAGCTGAGTGTAACAAAATCACAAGTGGGAGCCGATTTATCTGGAGCAGTATCTTATCCTATTACCTGCATGTACAAACTTGCTTCATTTTGAAGTAAGCAGGATTGAAGTTAGGCGCAAACTTTCCCTCAAGAACCTGACCGCTGTTTGGTTCTGGGCGCCAAGCTGCATTAATGTCCTTCCGTCAAATACATATGAAATTTTCTGCATCACCCTGACACCAGATAATCTGCTTCGCAGCAACCGGGCGCCGAGGCCGCTTTCAAGATCCTGGGGGAGGCGTACGAGACCCTGAAGGACGAGCAGAAGCGCTCAAAGTACGACCGGCAGCGCTCGGCGCGGCTGGCCTCGCAAAGCCTCGCCCGCAACGGCAGTCAGCAAGCCCGTCGGGGCCCCGGAGGCGTGCACCCCCAGAACCGGGGGCCATATGCCCAAACTTTCGGGGGGCAAACCTGGCAAACCTTTTTTGCCGGGGAGGGCGGTTTCCCACAGCAGCAAGCGCACGCGCGGGGTGGCACACAGCCCGGATACCCAGTGAACGGGCATGCGGGGACCGTTCCCCAAGCGCCTTTTGCAGCCAATCAGGCGGGGGTGCCTCAGCAACGGCCGGCATCGGCTTCGCAATACGCGCAGAGGCCCCCAGCTGCGCAACAGCCGGGCGGTCCGGCGGCCCGGGGGGGTGTGCAACCGGGGGGCAATAACCTGGGGGCTCAGCCGGGTGCTTATGTCCGCCAAGCGGGTCAACCGGCGGCGTTTGTCCAGCAACAAGGCGCTAACCAAAGGGTTCCGGGGAGTACGGCGGGGGCGCCTGCCGGCCAGCATGCCAGTGGGATTCAACCGGGCGTTCAAACGGGTCAACCGAGGGTTTCCTCCAGCCAGCAGGGGGTTCCGGCGGGGCAACCGAGAGCTTATGGGGGTCAGATGGGGGCTTATACCAACCAACAGGCTGCACAAACCGGTCAGCCGGGGGTGTACACCACTCAACCGGGGGTGACAGTTAATCCAGGGGCGCAAACGGGTCTACCGGAAGTGCGTTTCAACGTGTCGGGGGTTCCTGTTAGCGAGCCAAGGATATCCGTACAACAGCAGGGGGCATCCGCGGGCCAACCGAGGGCGTATGCGGGGCAACCGGGCGCGCAAGCAAGCCAACCTGCCGGGTTTGCCCCTCAGTCCGGTCAGCAGAGGGGTTATACCGAGCACTACGGGGCGGGCGCATCTGCAAGCCAGCCGGGAATCCAAACTGGTCAACCGCGGCCTTATACTGGGGCTCCGGGCAGCCAACCTAGCGCTTATGCCCCCCAACCCGGGGCGCCGACGAATCAATCGAGGCCTTATGCAGGCCAGCAGGGCGCTTATATTCCTCAACAGGGGGTTCCAACCAGTCAACCGGGGGCGTATGCCGCTCCAGGGGCGGCTGCGCCCTTCCCGCCACAGCCCTCAGGCGCCCGGGGGATCCCCCCAGGGACCAATACAGCGTTCCAGCCATCTGGGCAGCGGCCAGGGGGGCCGTTTCCAGGGCCCAAGGCATGCCCCGCAGGTCGATTCATCTGCAAGTGCCCGTCGTGCTTTCAGAGGTACACTTTTCCGGTCGAGAGCATGGGCAAGTATGTGTACTGCAAGTGCCGGGCGAGGATCATGGCGGTGAAGGAGGCGCCAGGTGGCGGCGCGTCAGGGGCCCACCTCGCAGGTGAGAGCGGTGTCGATTTATCGTTGATCACCCTCCCTTAAAGGTGAAGACTTGGCCGTGTTAGGTATCAGGAACTCCAGGATTAGTTTCAAGTTTCAAGCAGACGAGAGTCAGTGATTCCGTTTTTGTTGGGGCCTAAGGAGTAAGTTCTTCTAAAGATTGCTGAAAGTGCGGGGCTCATGAATTGAGGTGTATTTGGTAGGGGTGCGCTGCATTTATTAGCCTCTCAGTAAGGGCGTGCAACTCAGGGGCTCTCATGTTTTCAGAGCGTCATGCTTTTGCCAGAAGTGTGTGCTTGTCGAGAGCCTTGGGCCAGACTCGTGCTGCGTTCTTATCGACCTTGAAAGCTGTACATCCTTCGAATTTCGGCACTGCTTCTTCATAGTGCTGGCACCTGAAGCCCGCTTTCATGCAGACTGATTCTTGGTCGAGGGACCATTTCGCAAGTGCCCTCTTCAACCTCGACACCCTAAAAGCTGTCCCCCAATCTGCAATTTTCCATGCTCACGAGTGCTGACTCCGTGAGCTGCCCCCAATTCGCATCTTGATCCTAGGACTATCAACCGTTTCCCTGTCTGTGCAGCCACGCCCCGAGCCGCTCCCCCGTCTTTTCCTGCGGCACCAGCGCCGGCGCCTGCGCCAGCACCTGCTCCTGCTCCCCCCCAGCCTCCAGTCGTCCGACCGGCGCCGCCTGCCCCCCAGGCTCAGCCACCGGAAGCCCGGCGCACGGTCGTCGAGCAGGCATGGGCGGAGGCCGTCAAAATCAGGTGAGCGATTATTTCTAGGGGTTGTGGATTGCCGAATATATGAGCGTTTGCAGACTCCGTGTTGGGCTGCAATCATCAAGATAGCTGATGTCCTTATTTAGATGGGGAGGGCCAACGACTTCCTTGGCTTCAGTAGTATTGAGCGCGCGTAAGCTGAGGCTGCCAATCGAAGTTGAAAAAATGTGTTCTTCTGTGTTGGAAGGCTTCTACGCGAAAAGGTCGATCGGCTGCCAAGTACACACATGGACTGTCCCACCCATGCTTAACGATGGAAGGAAAATTGCGAACTTTGACCGTCGTGCGCCTTTCTGTGAAGAACGGATAACGAGACTGAGAACTGGGAAGCTCCTGGTTCCCCGTGTAAATTTCTCCAAATTACATCCACCCTTTTGGGCTTGCGTTCAGCAAATCGATTTTGGATGTCTCTCTACAGGACGGACCACGAGAAGGAGAAGCGGCGCGAGGAGCGTAAGCTGCGCAAGCAAGAGAAGGTGGAGCGGGAACAAGAGCTGGAGCGCCTCCACGTGGCCCGAGCAGCCGCTAAGCAACGGAAGGCCGAGGTGAGTGGCGTCTCGCCATCCTAGTTCATTTCACGGCACCAGTGTGGAATCTCCTCACGAGTTGGGTGATCACCCGGTTCAATGGAGATCCTGCAAGATGCCTGCCTAGTTTTTCTCAAAACCACAGCGATGTCAATCCGGAAATGTGGTCGGAAAAGGGGTAAGGGGGCTCGTTTGTTGAGTTGTCGTGTTTTATGAAATGTCGGACCAAGTGTTGAGCATCCCCGCTGCATGAACAGTCTGCACGCGATGACGGTGTTCAGCTTCGCCTCGTACCGCTCCTCTGTTGGTCACTCACCAGTGCCTCGAGGCCGGGTAATTTCCTGGGCCTTTTATAAAGAGACGCCTGAGGCGGCAGCACATACAACCTTACCACTGCTGTTTCACTAGATATCGTGAAAAGAGGGCACTAGAAGCAGCACACACCAAACTATATTCTGCTGCTCTACCGGAATATCGTAAGAAGACGCCATATACAGCAGCACACAGATAAGCTCTGCTGCCCAACAGGAAAAGGCGCGGCGTCACAAGGAGCGCAAGGAACGCGAAGAGAGCGAGAGAACGCGCCTGGCGTCGCAAGCGTCGCAGCGGGTCGACGACGAGAGCCGGGCGAAAGTGGTTGCAGAGGATGAGCAGATACCCCTGCGACCGGAAACCAGGGCGGTAATCGTAGAGGACATGGATGTGGATGGAGCGAACGGTGTGGAGGGCGATGTGAATGGGCTCCGGGAAGGTGTGAATGGCCTCGGGGTAGGTGTAAACGGGCTCGGCGAAGGAGTTGGAGAAGACTCCGAGGACGAGCCCCTGGTTAGGAAGCGGAAAGCAAGGCCGGAATCGGCATCGACCGGGGCGGACGGAGTTCGGGACGCAAACCGGAACGGAATTTTTGAGCGAGGCGGGGGAGCGGGGCCTACGGGACGTGATCCCGAGGACGAGCCGATCCGGAGAGGCAAGCTTCGGAAAGTGGCGGAACTGGGAGAGGCGGAACGGAAAGACGGAAAGGTTTCGGACGGAGTCTCCAAGCTAGAAAGAGGCGAAACGAACGGGGTAAAGGGAGTGTCGGGAAAGGAGCAAAGCAACGGGCTCGTGGGGCATGGTACAGGAGAGAAGCGGAAGGCGGAAGCTAAGGATACAGAAAGGGGAGACGGTGCCGGGGGTGGGTTAAGTTTGGGAATAGGGGGTGGGTTTTGGGTGGGTTTAGAAACGGCTTCAGGGGCAGGGACAGGTTTGAATTTGGGTTTGGGGACTGATTCCGGTGCGGCGAACGGTTCAAAGGCGGGGACGGTTCCGGTTGAGAATGAACAAAGGAAAAGGCAAAAAGTGAACGTCGTTGACCTGGCAAGTTCCGAGGAGGAAGCGGTTCACGGTGAAATGGAAAACGAGGCCGATGCAAAGAGGAGGGCGGAAAAGGGGAAGGCCAAAGTGGAAGAAGATTCCGAGATGGAAGCGGGCGGAACGACGCAAATGGGAACGGAGACGGAACAAGACGGAACGGGGATGGTTGTTGAAGAGGGCGGAACAGGACAAACAGAAACGGAAACGGAAGAGGGCGGAACGGAAAAGGAAGCGGAAACGAGGAGAGCGATCGTGGCAGACGATGATCCGAGGGAGGTCTTGGCGGGGCGGGCAAAGCGGAAACTGCGGCGGTTGGTCGATATTCTAAAGAGTGCGACGGCTCTTACGAAGGAAGAAGCGCTGGCGGAGGAGGCCTCTCCAGACGGGCCGCGAGAGCCGCCGTTTCTGCGCCCTGCAAAGACTGCCCCTGGTGTGAAAACAACCCCGGGTGGGAAAGCGCCCGCCATTGCAAAGAAGTCCCCTGCACTGAAAGCTACGCCCATCCTGAAAGCTTCCAGCGACGAGCGGGAGCTTCTTAGCCAAACCTTGCCCGCGAATGATGCGGCGGGGCCGTCGGGCGCAAATGGAAACCCTACGGAAAAGCTCCAAGGGGAAGCTTCTGAACCGGCTGGCGAGGATCTACACCAAGCTCCTACGGAGCCTGGGCCGTCCGATGTGAACGGGCACCCGCCGGTGGACGAGAACGGAGCGTACACCACTCCCGACTCGGTGTTTTTCGAATTCGACGAGGTTCGAAAGGAGTCGGACGTCCTTCCCGGGCACTACTGGGCGCTGTACGACGAAGCGGACGGCATGCCCCGATTCTACGGGCGCATCGACGCGGTTTGCGCTAACCCGTTCCGGGTGAACCTGACCTGGCTAGAGGCGACCGAGAAGAACCGCGCGGCGTTCTACGGGCGGCACCCCCCGCTGCGGATGGATGAGATCAGCCCGGGGACGGGGGAGTTTATATTCGGACAGAGCACGCACTTCAATTCGGTCAACAGCCTGGCATATCGGCAGACGGCAATCGAGCCGTTGGAGGGCGGCGCAAAACTCTTCCCCCGGTGCGGGGAGATCTGGGCGATGTTCGATGCGGAGAGGGGTGCGAAGCGAGACCGGGGGGGCGAGGAAAAGGCAGCGTTACAGTATGAGTTAGTGGAGATTGTCGGCATTGATGGGGGGTATACGGTGACGAAGCTGGTGCGGTTGCCGCGACACCCGACGCTGTTCCAAGCGGTGCGGGGGCCGAACGGGAAGCCGCTCAGAGTGCCCGTCAAACCTGCGGTAAGCTTGCCGGTCATTGAACCAGCGGTGTAATTCTGGCCTTGTCTCAGACATAAATCAAGATGGAGGGGTTAGGGAAGGATTCTGAAATTGTGCCTCAAACCCACACGAAGCATACATTGACCTTGCGTGTTCAGAATGAAGGTGGTAAGGGTTCATCCATTTCTCGATTCTTCACGCACTGCTTCGTCGTGCTTCCTCTTTGCTCTCGGACATGGAGCAGTTCCAGCTCCTTACTTCAATCACCGGCAAAAGTTGGTAGTCAAACGACTCTTAGTAGTACGACTAACCACACACTTCCCTCAGGCCGTCACCAGTGAATGACCTCTCTCAGGCCTTCGCCATTGCTAAACTTGGATAATTCCATGCAGGACGTTCCGCTCTTCTCGCATCGAGTTCTTGGGAAACGGGTGCCTAGAAACCTGATCGAAGTGAATGGAACGAGCCGGAACGTCGAAGTCTGGGAGCTTGACCCAGCGGCTCTTCCCTACTAGTCTGGGTCTGGTAGTTTGATCCACTTTCCATAGAATCCAAGTCCAGATTTCCGACTATTGCCCACATGAGGCCATACTTGATTTTGACTTGAGAGAGGCGGTTTCGCAGGAACCGACAGTAAAAATTGCTGCTTTATGCAGATTGTGATTTGTCCAGCTCAGTCGCTTGTACAGGTTGATAGAAGAACACTGACTCTCCGAGTCGTTAAAAGAGAATTCGGAGATGCAATTGCAGAACGATCTCGACACTGATTGGATCCTGGAACCATAAATCTGTTCCTCTATTGAGGGTGACCAGGAGCCCGTGGCCCTGGAAGCACATCATTGCCTAACGATGTGCTCCTCAAAAGAAAGAAAGCTCGCATGTGTGACGTGTGGGCACTACTTGTTGACATTTATTCGGCTTATACATGTGCCCCGTCGTGTTCAGGCCGAGGGCGAAGTTGACCTGTCACTTTAAGCTGGCATATGCCATCATAACCGTAATACAAGCAAATACTGACTGAACTTGGACTTGAAAGCTCAGTGTGTACCTTCTTCGTAACTTTATAAGCTGCCATCGATCTAGAGCTGTAGTCTAGAACAGCTTATTACTTGTCATATAGGTACATGTATACTGCTCAATCGGACATCATTATGCTCAGTGCGTGCGTACCACGCAGCGCCTGACTCGATCATGAATAGTCGGGCCGCCACTTGGTCTCTTGTTGAAGTTGTGGCGGCCGCCATGATTGCCGCGCATGCCATGCATCATTGGCCATCATGGGGCAGTTATGATACTGGTAACTCTCATTGCACTTAGGAGCCATTTCACTTAGGATCCGAGCTACCCGGGCAAACAAACTAAAAATCTTAACCAAACTAACCACCCGCTCCGCACTCAAACCCACCCTACCCGTCTCCCGGGCGCCTACCTATCCAAAATGATATGGCTCGAGTGAAATGGGAGTTACCCGAGTGCACTTTAATGGTCCTTTTCAGCCCGGTGGAAATCGCGGCAGGTTCCGCGCGCAAGGAGTATAAAGCAGCATAAGCTATGTGACCGTGTGGAAATGTGACCGCACGAATTAACTTGAATATCTTGCCCGTGCGCCGTGCTCCCGCCGGTACTGCCTACTACTGCGGCGTGCCGCCCGAGATTTTGTGCGCCGCGCAAAATCGCCAGGAAAATGGGGCAAAATTCGGCCGAATATTCGTTCCGGTTCCGGCGTCTGCAATCTCCTAGGAAATAGTTTCGTGCCGAAAACTACCTGCTTTCAGCAGCGTAACATGCGAGGTCGGAATGCCCGTAGTGTTACCAGGAGCGACAAACACTGCAAGTTTCGAGAGGTGTTCGGCCCGGTGAAAAACGTGCTCGTGACGTTGAAAACCCGTTTAATTGGGCATACCTGCAAAACGCGCTCTCAAAACGCGCTTTCTGGCCGGCCAGGTGGGCCTCCGGCACCTCATCTAACAATACGCGTGACGTCGTCTCGAATGTCGTCATTTCCCGGTCAGACCACGGTGTGTGGGCGGGGCTCGTCACCGGGCGGACCGTATGTAGGAAGTACAGTTCTCCCGGTCTCATATTAGCTCTCGGTTGAACGCATCCCTGAGGGAGCCCTCCGACGTCAATGCCGATGCACAAGACGTGCGGCACGCCAATCATCACCCGTGACGTGCGGAATCAGGTCCGTGTCAACCGGTTCGTAACGCAAAGCTAAACGCGCAGTGTGCGTCGCCTGCTGATGCAGTCGGTTCACTGCAAACCATGGGCGATGCTGACTCAGAAGAAGTCCAGTAACGGACTCGACCGCTCTAATCTGCCGGTTGCCATTGCTGCTCACAATCTCGCAACTTGACTGTAGACCTAGGTTTGGCATAGCCAAGTACACCTGTAGGTTTGGGCTCATATTACCGGTGTTGAAGTTATCTTTGAAGAAGGTGGATTCCAGCTACACTCGATTCGAGATTTCACTCAGAATGACCAGACGTAATAATAATACTAGTGCTGAGTAGGTTGTACTACGTCAGTTACTTCTTAGCTGGGACGTACCTGCTTAGCAGGACCACCTCAGTGTGGCACCCTAGCATCATGTTAGTGTCAGCTGAAGCTCGCAGCATGTCGCGGCCTTTTACCCCTTGCCATAAAGGTCGAGACTGGTCGTACGGAAAGTTCAACTCCTCACTTCTGCTGATGCGACAATCATAAGAAGCAAGAGGGAACAGCGATAGAGTGCTACTTAGGAAGAATCCATGTGCAATCTATACCGTAGCAGTATCATGGATAGAGGATCGCCAAACCCCGGCACAGACTATGACTCTGAGTATCAGGCTGGCCTTCTCACAGCAATAGTCAGCGCACCATACCTCATTTGGGTAAGTAAATTTAGGATGCTTTTCCCCTCGAATTTCTGAACGGCAATCTCTTGCCAACAGCTGGCTCCCAGACTGGTACTAAAGCGCTGCAATTGGCCGTTCCTGCTTTGATAAACTCAGAAAGGCGCCAACACCTTCACTGCCCTATCCTCTCAGGCTGGTCGTCACAACTTTTGCATCGGCTACGGGGCAGTGACTCTCCCTTTCAAAGCTCTCTGCAGCAGCCCACAATACTTCTCCCCCACCAGTCAAAGGGCGCAATCCGCACCCCCCAACAATGGCCCCTACGCAGCAAGCTTTCCGCGCGAGCCGCCTCGTCGTTGCGGTGCTTTTGATCTCCTCTGGTGGGGCGGCCTTCGCCAACAAGTGCTGCACGGAGCTGAACTTGTTTCAGCAGCCAGCGGGTGCAGCTGCCCCGGTCTATGTGCGCTCCTTCCCCGTGCCCGGGGATGACGGGATTCCGGACCCGGGAGCAGGGCTGTTTTTCACGTGCACGCAACAGGTGAGCATCACAGGAAATTCTGGCTGCTAACCGTGCTGATTACCAGACTCGAGTCTCAGGTTATTTGTAGCCTTGTTTCAAGGCTGGTTACCGCCCAGATCTGGCTACTGGACACTCAACCACTTTGAATACAGCCCATAGCCAGCTCATAACCATCATGGTTATGGGCCAAAAACTCCTGTGCATCCTTGACACCGGAACTAGTCTTGTGCAGAATGGCTCAGACACAGTAAGGTTAGTGCTGTGAAGAGTGCTTTCTAACCCTCCAACCCCCTGGAATAGAGCTTCAACGGGGCCAGGGAAGGATAGCGCAAAGATAGCGAATCGCACAACCTATGATTCAGTTTCTTGTAGAGCCCAATGAGTCACCACCAAGCGACTGTCTTCTGAGCATGTGCTATCACTTGAGGCAAGTCTCGAAAGCCCGCGTGTTGCATTGAGGAAAAGGTCCGCCCCTCTTGCAAAAGGCTTCTCAACATTCTTCTGAAGCGGACTTGTAAGCCCACCTTGCAAACTCCCCACGTGGTTCAGATTAACTCTACAGCTTGGCAAGGAAAACGTACGGTGATTTCTATGTAGCGCTGAAGGATAGAAAGGGGTGGTTGTTCTGGGGGGTTTTGGGTGGATACGAGAGTGGAGCAAAACAGAGTCGTGTCCAACTTCTATCTCTTCACTTCTTGATAATTGAGTCAAAGTAGCCGTTTTGAATAGAACCGACTTCGACTGATATCCTTGTCGAAGCCCAACTACATGACGTCAGCAACGTAACAGCTGAAGATCCCCCACACCCTACTGTCCAGCCTGCGTGCGTCGACAAGCAGGGCACATGCGCGCCTGGAGCATGATAGAGTCATGTCAAACTTCTATCTCTTTACTGCTTGATAATCGAATCAAAGTAGCCGTTTGGAATAGAATTGACTTCGACTGATATCCTTGTCGAAGCCCAACTACATGACGTCAGCAACGTAACAGCTGAAGACCCCCCACACCCTACTGTCCAGCCTGCGTGCGTCGACAAGCAGGGCGCGTGCGCGCCCGCCAAGACGATCGACAAGATCACCAAGAAGCCCGTGTGGAACTGCTACTGCGTCATCGACCCCAAGAAGGGCTGCAAGACCCGGCGCCGCTCAAGGGCCCTTCTGCAGACGGAGACCATAAACTGCTGCTCCGGTGAGGCTGGCAGAAGCTGTCCTGATCCTGAAAACCCCTGAAGCTCCATCTCGGTCGACTTTCGCACCAGCATTACGACAGACTGCGGATTCGCTTCGCAAGACAGCCGACCGAAGCAATTGGGACTGCTCTGACTTGTCCATATCTTTCAGCAGTCAATCGAAGTGCACTGACGTTGATCCTAGTCCTTTCCTTTTTGATCGCAGCTGGAATTGGCGACCCCCACTTCACATCGCTCCAAGGGCAGGGCTACGACTTCCAGGGCTTCGGCGGCGCCTCGTTCTGCCTCCTGTCGCAGCACAACATGCACATCAACGCGCGTTTTATCGCCGGCGCGGCGGCAAACTCAACCCAAACGTGGATGGACGCCCTATCGCTTATGACGGTCGGGGCGGACGGGGCCAGCCACACCCTCGAGCTGTCTCTGGGGCAGGTGAGGATCCCGATCTAGTTCGTATGAGCTGCTAGAAACTTATTCATATGTGCGTGCATTTAAGAGCTTGGAGCTCACCCGCCGCTTAGCAAGCTCGTGAGCATTCTGTTTCTCAGGGACAGGCCATCGGGCAACTGGGGAAGTTGATTCTGCCCTTTCTGCTTGCGCTCAGTGTCGAATCCCGTTCGGTTGTCGCATCTGGGCCCTGTCTTTTGCCCCACACGAGAGCAGCTACTCATTCCCGTGCTGCCCAGCTCCGGGACTCCCTTCTCCATTTTTGACAACTCTTTTCATCGAAGTCAATGATTGTCTACCGTGAGGTGCCAGCTGTCACCAAGACGCTGACAGCTGTCCGTCCGGAATCGGTTACCTGGGGTTCGTTCAAAGTACCCACCGCCGTCACGTTATTCTTTCTTGCGTCGTAAAATTCACCAACTTACTCAAACAGCTGATCCTATGCGCTTCTGATCCTGTCCGAACAGCTTCATTTTTGACTTCGTAAAACAATTTGGTCCTTATACCGTCCAAAAAGCTTCGACTCTGGCCCCGTCTGAAGAGCTTCGTCTCAGATCCCATCCGGAAAGCTTTGATCATCATAGATTACCAGAATAAGTTCGTCTTGCTCCTGTCCGGGAGCCTCCAGCTGTGGATAATTTCGGAGAGCTTCTCTCTTGTGTCTGAAAAGCTCAAATCATAGTCACTCAGCGAACCTTCCCCAGCTCACCATCGCCTTTCCCCCAGGTCGTGTCCGAGGACGCATGGACCGTCCGCTTCGATGACGCGCCCGTCGCGCTGCCCGACCCGTCCGCCACGTGGCTCGATGACGTCATCCATCTGGAGCGGGAGGAGAGCCACCGGCTGACGTTGCTGGTCAAGGACCGGGTGTGCCTCGAGATCTTCGTGCTGTACGACGAGAACATCGCCCCGGTGGAACTCCCCGACCGCCCGTACGGGGGCCGGTACCTCAACTTCCAAATCAGCATGCTGGTCGCCGCGAACGACGCGCACGGGGTGCTTGGGCAGACGGTCCGGCCCACCGGGTAAGTTTGTGAAGAAACCTGTTAGTCGAATGGAGCGTTCTCTGTTTGTGTTCTGCTGAGTGCATTCAAGTGCATTAACTCGTGTGCTGGTTGTTTCTCATGGTGAAAGGTGCAGCCTCGTCTCTGGTTCCAGATTTCGGACAATGATTGAGTACTCTATATCGTGTAAGGCTCGGATGACAAAAACCTGGCAAAGTTGTCGATATTAACGAATGCGATAGCCTGACAAGAAACGGATGGACTCAAGAACAAAGGAATCGGGGGAGAGAATCGAACGGCTTTTAGGCAACGAACGAGTTCGAAGGAAGATCAACTGTATCGCAATTCTAAGTTGAGATGCTTTCGAATCCAACGGCCTTTCACAGCACCGTCTACGAACTTCCCGCACATCCCGCAGGAACGGCGCCTCCATCGTGGAGGGAAAAGACCTCGACTACGTCACGTCCTCGCTGACGTCATCTGACTGCACGTTCGACCGCTACCGCGGCGACCGGGACGATCTGACGGCCACGAACGCGCGCCAGGTGCTGTCCGTCGGATTGGATGGCCACGAGGACGAGACCCCCCTCGTCACCTTTAGCTCTGGAAACGGAATCAAGTGGAGCGTTTCAGTCGCTGACAATTGAGGTCAAAGGGCTTTTAGGTTGACGGCGGGTTGAATGTTTTGCCAAAACTGCGGGGTTGCCTGAAGATGGCATACAGAACCTCAGAACGACGGTTAAGTAGAGGGCTTGAGTGCGTGAACTTTCAAACGCCTTCAGGGCTCGGTCTTCAGTCATGGATTTCTAGGGAGGAGGGGGGTTTGAAATGACGTCGTAGACGTTCCAAGAAACAAGTCAAGGTTTTGATTTCGGGAAGAGGGAACGGCAGAAAACAGAGGAGGAGACGGCTCGGAATGAGCCTCGAGTAACGAACCAGTCGGAATCAGTTTGCTACGTGCTTTCTCATGTATACTATCTTTGCGTCGTCATCAGTGCTTAGCACTGAGCAAAGCTTTTGGGTCAAACGTAAGGACGACCGTCAAGCAGCATCCGTGGTCGATTCCCGTATTTACAGTTGTTCATGCTTTTGGACAGCAGGCCCCCTCCTTTCATCTAGTCAAAGTCATTGGACCAGACAAACTTTAGTCAAAGTCACGTATTTCTGATTTCTTACTGTGTGTTTGTTCGTGTATCATAGTAGTATGAACATTTCCAGATGTGTAGGTGTTTGTGGAAAAGCTGAGTCAAGTAGACACGGCTTGAATAGGACTTGGTGTTTCTATTTGATGTTGAAGGGATCTGGGGAAGGCCGGGCTAAGTCAACCATCAGCTTTTATGTGCTTTGTCGTGTTCAGGCAAAGATTGACAATTCCTCTCTACTTGCATATGCCATCCATATAAGACCTTAAGCGAACAAGCTGCAGGACTTGCATGTGTACGAACGTTGTGCAGCTTTCAGCATGTAGGGCTGTTTAAGCATGCTACCTAAGCAATACGTGTTGGTTTAGTTGGACGATTTCAGGTTCGATCTACAGTCGATGTTCGACTTAGGAGAATTGAAGAATTGACAGCATGAAGCAGACCTCACCTTTTAGTCTAGGCCGTCAGTCACCAGCCATGCAATGATCAGGATTCCCCCGCCCTTGCGACGGTGTATTATATACGATGCGATGGTCCACATGCGGGCTTGTGATATGCTGCATGCGCGGACGAGCAGCAGTGGCCCGCCGGAAATTAGAGTCAGTGGACAGCATAAGTTAGCCATTGAATGTCGTGCAGCGGCATGCTGTATCATGCGCGGAAAGTGCATTTTATTTGGCATCATTACAGCCCATGCAGACCAACATCAATGACACAGCATATCAACGAAAAGGACTTCGAACACATCGCAAGCTGCAAGCTAGAACGATCGTTGTGCTTCTTTTGCTTGCTGGTAAATCGGGGAACGCCGTTTCTCATGACAGAAAGAGTCAGTGTCTACTCCACAAAGCAAGCACGCGGAAGTACGGCTTCCCCTATGGCACCGGAAGAAGACAGGTCATGTTGGAGAAGCCTAAGGACTCTTGGGGCCCCGAACTTTTACGAGGGCTAAATTCCGCGGAGTCCAATAAATTTGCTTTGACGAAGAATCGTAGGTTGGACCTCAGTTGAACGTAAGTAAGATCTTGTCATGTGGAACATTTGAGGTCTGTCTCATAAGCTTAAGTTGTGTCATCAGTGAGCGCTTTCGATCTTAATAAGGGCTGCTTCCACAAAAGCTCGCAGAAACCTTACTTAAGCACCGAGTAAATCGTGTAACCGTACCAGTGGAACGACGGTCCGCTGTACAATAAAGGTTTTCAAGTAAGGAGGTTGGTTGACACAATTACACCAATTCTCAATCTCCTGGAGCTCACACTCTGCGCTCGCAAGCTTATCTTCAATCTCAAGGATCACCTTTTCTACTCCCTTCTTCAACTGTCGTCCTCCGTCGGGCGTTGCTTCCGTTCGCTTCGCGACCGTTGGATTGGCTGTATTGTCTTGCCCTGAATAAAGGCCCGGCGTTAAGGACACTTTCCCATCGTTTGTATGTCTGCTGACGATGCTTGAGTTTCTTCAATAAGCGATTGACCTGGTCCATGTCGGCTCTGTAAACCTCCAGGTATAGCAGCATAAGGGAAGCCATCTCCATGCTAAAACCACGTCCACCTATGCGGCCGCTGCTCAGAGCGTCGTCCATCCTCAGGTTTGCCAAGTGAAAACAAACGCTAAGCAATCGGCATCGTCTTTTGAATATTCTGTACCGGTGCTCATACACGACAATAGGGATCAGAAATCGTTTGGCGATGTCATTTAAACTGCGTGCCACGCAAGCGAGCGAGGACACGTCCGCAACGCTCAGCAGGTCTCCCCGCTGGATAAGAATGTTCATGACGTCAGCAAAGGTTTCATTGTCGTCACCCGTGGCCGCTTCCATATTCATTCGGCCTCTGCGGCTTCTTGTAAGCGGCTCTTGAGAGGAAGCTCCTGTATGGCGAAACAGGACAACGTTGTTGAATGATTTGAAAAGTGAGACGGACAATCAATCCTTTCTTTCAATCACAGTTTCTAGGTAAGCCTTTGACAGTCCACTTCCATCTGGACCAGAATAGCTTACAGAACACTTTCCTATAGAGAAATAGAGGGATGCTTTGGGACTAGAGAGAGGGAACGTCCGTGAGTGACAAGCAGAGATTATTTGACACAATCGAAACCTGCTCCCGACAAACTCCTTTGAAGAGCATGCACAAGGTCGGGCTCCCAACAGACACCATTTGGGAGGATCCCTGCCTTGAATTGTGAAAGTTCGCTGGTCGCACTATCTTACGCTAGCAAAAGTGGGTTCGCTTTCCAAGTGCAAAGAGATTGGTATCTTAAGGTTGGTGCTTCTTCATGCAGCTTGAAGAAAATAAAGGCGTCGACCACTCCTGAAACTGTTCCCAACGGCATGCGAGTTTGAGAAACAATAGCAACGCAAAGTTTCAGGGCAACTTAGATTTGTTGGCCAAGAAGTTGTGAACAAAACCGCATCTCGTCTTTCACTCACCACGTCCTAGCGGCTAGAATTCGCTTCTGCAGTGGAAGCAAAGCAGCGTCAACGGGGCACCGTTACCCTGAAAGCTAGGGCTAGCTTCCGGTTGAAGGCCTTTCTTCGACGTGGTACGGTGAAAGACGAATCTGTTACACTTTGCGGCCTGCAAGCGAAGTCGGTCAAGCTTGTGGCAAAAAGGCCAAGCACTCCACAGGCTTGAATGGAATCAGCGACGCCACGCCGTTAGGCACCAGAAAAAGGCTGAGCCTGCTACACGGTCGCATGTACTGATCAAGCCTCACTTTTTGCCTCCGTTTCCTCAATTCAATTAGTATCATTCAGTCTGACTGTCGTCGAAATCAGGCCACGTGCGTGACGGTGCATGATGATACAGGTCAATAAAGCGTGCATGCATGGTTAAGGGTTGCTTCAATGACGTCGCGCGATCATGTATGAGTGACCGTCTGTGTTCAGCGCCTAAACATGCACTTTCACTGTTTGCCAAGAACTTTCCATGCAATTCATTGACGGTAGTTTTGAAAACGGGAGACGAGTACTCAGTATCACTCCAATCTGCACCCTCGAGACAAATATAGAATGAGGGACTCGAAGGTAAGAAGTCGACTCAGTCTGTTCAATGCAATCCACTTGCACGTTGGAGCCGGCTCTAGCTACCGTATATGGAAAATTGAAAAGACGTACTAAACGCTCGAGAGGTTGACGACTGCAAGCAAGTGACTTACTCAAGCGTATCAATGATCCTAGCATTATCGGAGGTTCTAACTAGCAACTCTAGAGTAAAACGCTCGAGTATCCTATGCACCGCGCATGCGAAAGCAACCTAATACGCCAGCAATGTTTACTCAAAGTTTTCAGTCTGAGAATCTTTATCTGAGTAAAGGGTGTCAATGAAGTAGAACGTTGCAAAGCAATGAGATTGTACTTCCAAAGCAACAATCGGTTCCGCTTGATCCTTAGGTCAACTCTCTGCAAAAGTGAGCACGTCTCGATACCTAGTGTCTGGACTGCCGTTGAACCGAACACGTCAAAGCCGGTTGAGAACGCTTTCTCGGGCTTGAAATGCGACGCTTTGGAACGCTTTTGCTCTTGCTCCGGACGGTTTCCCGGACAGCATTCAAGCGGACGGTACAAAGTTCCCGTGGAACGTCAGTGCCACGTGCGTTGGCAAGTGTACGACGCACACCGGGGGATCCCCCACCCTCGTCGCGTCCAAAACCACAACGTCCGTCGTGTGCTTCTTATTATTGTACACAAACGAGATCAAGTACCCGTCGTCTTCTCCGACCGCGCCTTTCCGCGGCACGAACTCGACCTCGCTCGGCTCTAACCCCTCCCCTAGAAGGTTCGTTTCCACGGTCCCAGTCTCTAAGTCGTACTTCTGTATGCAGTCGAAGTAATGAACGCCGTCCCTCCCACTCCCTTCCTCCCGTTTCACCCCCCCAAAACTCTGCCCCAAATGGACCCCCTGCCGCGGACCCTCGAGCCGCCCGGCCGTCGAGCACGCTGCCACGTACACATACCGCGTTTTCCTCCCGGTGTACGCCTGGTTGATCTGCGGGTACTCCATCCCGAAAGTCGCGGCGGGTTTCCCGCTACGTGGGCTGCGGACCGCCGGACGGTCCGACTCGAGCGTCCAAGTTTTGGTGTCCAGCGCCAGCTCCCATAAGCTATGGTAAGTGTCCCAGTTCCAGCCGCGAGCGTACATGTCCTTGAAAGTGTCCTCCAGGTTTTCTCGAGGGCCGTTCTGCAGGAGCAACGTGCTTTTGTTTCAACCATTGATGGCTGCTACCGCAACAGCGTGATAATCCTTGCTCGTTCTAGGCCGATCGCGCACGTTTAAAATCCAGGTTCCATTTTAGCTCAAGGAACTCCCCACCCATTTCTCCAGATCTTTATTGTCTGGATTGGACTATAGGCGTTCCCAGCGCCTTGCCATGGATATCCTCGGACCCTGCTTTCATCGAAATTTGAGGGCTTCCATATCTACTCTAGGCAACAATTGACCATCAGACCGGCCGTCGAAGACAGAAGTGCGTCATCCCAAATCACCCCCTGCCCAACAGTCGACGTAGCACCTCCTCTTATTGGAAGATTATGTGAACTATTCATCAAGCATGCGGCCTGCCTGCTCTTCTGGAACACTACTAAAATTCAGAGAAACAAAAAGCACAGTCTGATATATCTTTTAGAAAAGAAAGTCCGCTCGAGCAGGCTGAAGAGTGTGAGCAGTGCAGGCAACTTAAGCAGATACGTAGCAAAAGCACACAGAGAATTACGACCGCACCCCCCGACGAAGCTTCCGGAACCCTAGCCCTCCCGGTTGAGCTTGCGACTTGCTCTTGTTCTCAAACTGTCACCGAGCCCCAAGACAACCTAACACCACTTTACCAAAAGGCCACTTCAGAGATCATTCGCCCCGTTGCTCATAGCTTATGCTTCCATTCTTGCTTACCAGCCTATTGACCAGCACGTGCAGCTTGCCGTGCTCTTCGTACGCGTTTGCGTAGTGGAACGTCGCAAACGCCGGCATCCGGACGTCCGCCACTACGGACATGTCCGACTTTCGGGCGACCACGATCCGGCTCCCTAGGGCGGACTGGTACTCGAAGGTCGCCCCGAAGGTGGTCAGCCCGGCCACAGCCTGAGAGAAGGACAAAGCAGGCGTAAGCGAGAGGAAATAAGTATAGACAGTGGGTGATGCAGAGCTATGATAGGAAGGAATAGCAATTTGCTGTAGCTTGTCGTTACAAATGCTCAAGGATTTGTGATTTCTCGCTTTTCAAAACAAGCTTGTTAGTATACAAAGCAAAAGACGAGAAGGAAGGCAGCAGAAAAGCCCGAAGTGGGACGGAGCTAACAAAGGCAGCGAAGAGAACTTGCAAGAATACGAAACCTCGCCGCTGTTCCGAGCCGGATGCATTTTCGCTGACCGGAAGCCTGTTGTTTCCCAACACTCTAACCAAGGTTTAGCGCCAGCGTCTGCGTCCGTCGAGCTAGCCGATATTGATCATCTTACAGGCCCTTTGTACAGCCCAGAAACGTCGCAAGCGCTCGTCTTCAAAGGGGCAGCAACCAGCCCGAGCGGCATCCAAGTTCGCCTCGAAGCGGCTGAGGAGTTTCTCACGACAAGCGAAACGGCTGACGTCATCTGGGAAAACGTGTGGGCTTTCGCCTCCCCTTGATCAGGTTCACTGGCAATGACATGTGCGGCGTGATGATCACAACCAGGTGGGTTTCTGTTCTTACATTTTCTTCTCTTCCTTCCAGAGCTTTTGGGCCTCGTCGTCAGCCGGGCAGTGCAGCCTACCCGGGCAGCATTCGCAGCCAGTCCCAAAAAAACGGCACAGACATTCCTCTCGAGAGACGCGTAATCGCTGACGTCATTCAGGGGCCAGAATGTGCGGCTCCTCCGACTCACCTTGATCAGGTTCACCGGCTTGGACAGGTGCGGCGTGATGACCACAACCAGGTAATTCTCGGAGATGGCGAAGTCGTGGACGAACGTTGGCTCGTCCAAAGCAACGCGACCCTGCGCAGAAAAAAGGATTTTCAATCGGCACTAAGAGGCGTAAGAACTGGGGTGGTTATCCACACCAGAACGATATAAAGAACTATCCAAAACGGAACTGAGCCTAAATCACGGCGATAAACAAGTCCTGGACTATTGTAAGTTGGCCGGACATCACCGGACGCTGCGTCAAACGGCATGATCCAGGAACTCTGAGAAGAGGGTTCGAGCTTTCAAACCGGGGTTATTCAGGTCCTTTTCCAACCGAGATCATCGAGGTCCAATCCGACAGGAGACCGAAACATGGTAGCTAAACGAGTGGTGGACGAACGTGGGTTAGTCCAACTTTTGGGAGTCACGAGCTTCTGTGAAGAGAGACTTCGGACATTCGAACCCGTCACCGGTCGGCACTATGGAGAATGGACGGGACGCAGATCTCAATTGAGTGGGGTGCACGGATTTTGGCCAGGTCAATGCCCCGCGCACTTTTCAAGACACGATTGACTTCAAGCAAAAGGTCCCCGGTTGACCCCGACCGAATCCATGCACCAAGAGTTGTCCGGAAATGCGTGAGTCATGCCAAACTAAAAACCTCCTAGCGCGGGCAGGTCTGACTGATACGTACGAAACGACACGGTTCGGCTCTAGAAATTTTGCATTTGACAACGCCTCCTAAAGCCCCACCCAATATTTCCCTCCTGGTTCGAGTTCAAGATGGGCTACTAACAACCTCAATACAGAAGATACGATGCGGGAATGGGGCGCACGGCAGATTTTGATTCGGAAAGAGAGCTGGCTACAGTCTAGGGTCTGTTCCCCGCACCTTGCTGAGTACTTTGCCGTCGGGAGAAAGGGAGTAGACACAAATCTCGACACAGAAAGAAAGCAGCCCACGGATCAGAGTCTGTCCCCCTCACCTTGCTCAGCGCTTTGCCGTCGGGAGCAAGGGAGTAGAGGTCGAGCGCGAAGATGCGGAACCAGTCACGACCGATGCCCACGTTGTACAAGACTGTATCGGAATCACGATTGGCGTCAATGCTGGCGCAAAGACGCCCACGTAATCCAGGAAGAGATTGTAAAATCGTTTTGGGAAGATTACAATAAGACGATCTGTGATCTCATTGGGCCACTCGTTTATCCCAAAGATGATGCATAAGCTCACGGAACCACCGACAATGTAAGAGCTGATGATTCAATCTAATCTTTGGGGGTAAGCTGAAGCATCACAGAATGCTCTTAAATTAGTGACAATCGAACCGTCAAGTCTAAAGGAAACAGTGGCAAATTCTGCAGGTCCCTTCATATACCTAAATTAGAACCAAAACATTGGGGAATAGCAGCGAGGAGGCCGTTCAACTGCCTTGATGTCGAAGAGCTGAAGCGGACCCACTCAGCGCTAAGAACGTCGGACAGTTTGACATGCCCCTCTTCTCGACAGGGTTCCCCTCTGCAGCGTGCCATTAGTCAAGACGTCCAACGTATCTACTCACCCTTGGGATGTCCGCTCATCCTGCTAACAGTCGAACGGCCGAAAATTAGGTTTCACTCGGGACGCCCGAAACGTGCTGACTTTCTGATCGTCTGGCATTTCGTACTTACTTTGAAAGTCCAGTTCGCGCCAGATCCTGATGTCCATTGCGTCGTGACCTAATGTCCGCATCGAGGTCACTCTCAACCGTCCAATAGTCCGGACATACTTTTAAAGTCCGGATCGATCTTGAGGGTGCGTTAAATACTTCCGGACTCACTTTTGGTGTCCGGATCGATCTTGGGGTGCGCTGAGAAGAAGCTGGGGGTGTAGTCGACCGTGCCGAGCGTGTCCAGGGTTTGGGGGTTTATCTCCAGCGGCGGGCCGCCCTCCGAAAGCGCCAAAACTTTGTGGTCGAAAGCGCGGACGCTGCACGGACGAAAGAAGGGAAGTCTTTGTAAAACGAAGAAAAGAACGACGTGAAATCGTTGTAGACGTAGACGTAGAAGTAGACATAGACGACGTAGACGTAGATAGAACGATGTTTGACAGCATCAGCTGTTGAGAAGAGGAAGGCTGGGACAAGGAGGAGTTTAAGGCAGGGGATCATCGAACAATCAAAGTACTTTGCGGTTGGAAGCGCGGACAGCACGCGCAAGAGAAGGGCGTTCTCGGTTGACGAGATTGACAGCTTCAAGCATCAGCTTATAAAGAGAAGGGGCTTTGAAAGGCTAGGACGACTTGGTGTCTAAGGTTGGGAACGTCGACCAGAGTTTTGGCAGCGACATCAAACATGAGGAACCTCGACAATCTCGACAAGATGATTGTAGGACTTTTCGATCTGGAATCAAGAAGAAAGCTCGTTCTACAGAGCGTAAGCAAGGACAGAACTCAACAAGAAACGCCGGACCTTTGCAAATCATCGATCCCGAATATGACGTCAGCAGAGCTAGAAGGCAAAGCATAGAGCCCACCTCGAACCAGATCTCAAACCGCACATGTACGGACGCTCTACGGCAAAGCTTTCTCAAGCTACAATACGACAGCCACAACTCCAGAACCTCCACAAATCCAAAAGCAAAACAAACTTGCGTTGAACAAGGTTTGGAAAAGCGAGAGAACGTGGGAGCTCTTGAAAAGGAAAAGTTGACCTCTAATAGCCTTTCCGTTTAGCTTTGTGCAACAACAAAGCATGCTTCTTTCTGGATTTCTTACCGTTTAGAAAGGTCAACAAGGTTATCTCACCTCGTGTTGCTCGGGTTGCCGGGTGGCCCCAAGTTGGCGAGCCACCCCCCCGAGCTCTCCGTCCAGACCGCCTTCCCCACGATCTCGTCCTTCCCCGACCGCTCCTGCTTCTTGTACCGGTCGGTCAGCATCCACCGGTTGCGGTACGAGACCGCGCCACCGGGGCCATTAAACGAGACCGCATACACCTGACGCAGAAGCACGATATAAGTGAACGCGATGGTATGAGAAGCCTCGGAAGCTTGGGCGATGGCCTTTTCATACTTTGCGGCAGTAGAATGCGCATTCTACTGCCGCTGAGTGTAAGAAGTAACTGGGCTGCGGGTTTGAGCTTTTAACATGGCTGTCTTAAAGAGTCCATGCAAATAGTCGAACAAGGTGTCGAATCAAACCATCGATGGTGTGCTCAAGCAGTATTGGAAACGGCTCCGCGTCAAATCTCCCCGTTAAGATAGGACGACCGACTGAGGCCAAACTTTTCAAGGTGAAAAATCCTGAGTGACGTCATTAGGCGTCCTACATATGATGACGCACGGGCCCTCACCATGCCGTCCCCGTCGAACCAGTGCCCACACTCATGATCCCCAACGATCGTCTTAGCAGGCCAAAGTCTCTGACGAAACAAGTGACGTCATGAGCCGTCATCTCGGATCACATGCCGCATGGGTCCTCACCATGCCGTCCCCGTCGAACCAGTGCCCGAACTTGTGATCTCCGATGCGGATGCGCCCCGGCCCTGCCCGGTACATCGTGCCGCGCAGCTCCTCGGGGACGGTGCCCTTGATAGCGGACGGGTCGACAGCGTACGAGCACTCTTTGGGGGCCTCGAGGGCGCCCCGCCATGGCTGCTCGGAAACTGCACGTAATCACGCAGCTATACTTGGTGGATTTGAGTTCCGTGTGAGGTGAAATGGTGACTGTAAGTTGCCTCAGTTGTGGGTAAGTCGACGATGTACGTAAATCGACGATGTACGGGCGTTAACCAGGGGCGTCAAATGCGCCCCGCCCTGGCTGCTCGGAAACTGCATGTAAAGAAGCACCTTAGTTGTGACATATCATGTGTGGAGGAAAAAATAATGTCACTTGAGTGGCCTCGGTTGTAAATCTCGGTCGAGAACATACAACCGCTCCTCCAGGGGCTTGAGGGTGCCCCGCTAGCTGATCGGGGACTGCATGTGACCAAACATGTACGGTTGGTGAATTTGATTATTGGTGATTAAAGTCTTCATGTACAGCTAGGAGAGGGTAGCACATAGAGTTTGAGTTGCTTTCGATTTTTGGCGGTCAACAACGTTCAAACTTTTCCGGGGGCTCAAAGAACGCCCCGCCAAGGCTTCTCTAAAACTGCATGGATGTTCCACGGATATCAATGTTTGAAGGATACGTAATTTTGACACAACCTGATGCGTCGTCGAGACCCTCAATTAGGCAGGGACGAGGAGGAGACCTGTTTGACAATGGGCCGAGGATGTTTCTCACCAAAGCTGCTGTGAAGCTACCTGGGAACAGAAGGTAGATGATATAGGACCTTTCATTCTTGGGAAATAATTTCTCCAGACAAAAAGGTCCGGCTCCTCAAACTTCGCCAAAATAATCAAGGACAACAAAGTCCTGCTGCACAACCTCTATGGGAAGCAAAAAGCCAACGAGATTTCCAAAGGGAGTGGCTCTCTGATCCTTGTAAGGAGTTGGGGGTAATCATGCGCCCCCAAGTGGTGTTCAGGTACTGTTCAGGGTCTTGAGAGGTTTGTTCTAGAGAATTGAAACCTGATAACCGCTGAGAGCAATTCCAATGATACCTTGAGCATGCAAGTTCCAGATACGCTTATGAGCAACAAGCTATCAATTGGGACTCAATGATAGCCCCCGTTTGATCAGAACAAGATCAGATGATAGACCAAGCCAGCTAGTTTCTGCAGCATGCCCTGGGATAGAGTCCTTATGCAAAGAGAAGGGCCTAGATTTGAACATTTAGACACAGAGAGCATGGTGAGAGCTAAGCGCTTCACGCAGCGGCCATATCGAAAAAGGAGAAGTTAAAGTTAAAGCAAAACCGTTGTGCAAAATGAAGAAGAGCACGGAAACAACCGGACAGGAAAAAGGGAAGAGCTGCGTCAAAATCCAGCTTTCATTGCTGAAAGTTGCAGAAGTCAATCTCACATCACGGATCTTCATGAACTTACGGGTCCTTCAAGATATCCAACAACCATCAGTGACTTGTGATTGTCCTCTCTAAGCTCAGCAGCAGGCGAGATCAAATAAGTGAGAGTGTCTCAAAATGAATGGCTTCTCTCAAGAGAACGAAAGCGCCTGAAATAAACCTTGATGGTCTTGAAGGCCTGGCGTATGCAACACCGAAAGCCGCAGAAACTGGAAAAGATAACCACCCGACAAATAGCAGAGACTGTCATTCGCCAGTCTGGAAGGTTTACTAGTCCCGGTTCCCTCATTCAGTACTTCCACCAATGTAAACACAAATGTAAAAAGTTCTTGATTGCTGTACCAACATTTTGACCTCCGGTGTGTAGAACCTGAGGTAGCCGTACTGACCTGCTTCTTGAACCCATTTTGGCACCAATGGTGACGTCAGCAGTGGGTTGGCTTCTTCCTTGGGGCCAACGCTCCCCACCGTCTGCATGGCGTGAGGAGCCGCCTTTGAGAAGATTTTCAGATCCCTCGCTGAAAACCTTCGATGCCCTTTAAACCGGCATAGCCTGTAAATGGATGACTGATGATCGTCTGGATTCAGAGGTTGGGGAGATTGCAGGGGCCCATAAGAAAGTGGACATGCGACCGAAGCTGAGGCAGAAGCCATGTTCTGGCGACACGTCTGCACAGTACTGCACTATAGCCCCTTGAACTTGAAGTTCATCTTTGAAGTTGAAGCAGGTGTGTCATGCAGCTCGTGCGCGCGCGCAGAGTCCAGTGTTGGATTTTATCGGACCGCGACGGTCCGGTCAGTGCAGCTGCGAAACCCTTCTCCAACCCCTGCGCGGCCGCGGGAAGATGCCGACCAGCCGAAGACTTGGAACTCGTACATACAGCGACGTTCATTCTGGCCCTCGCTCGATTTCCCTGGCTTTGAAGAGCGTTCGTCAATGGCGCCCAGAGAGCCCGATTACGTTACCCCAGGCAAGAATTCCCAAAGACTGAACCCCTTGCGATGCTACATTCTTCCCTTCCAATAGAATGTAGAGAATGTGATCAATTTGATTGCTGTCGACCGAGATACTTTAGTTCATTATACAATGGACACATCTGGAGGCCTTCTGATTATGCATGTTAAACAGATTTTCATTCCTTGATGCTTGCTGTATAAGCGGGTTAAGTTTGTTCAAAGCTCGGGATCAAACGCCGTTTGAAAACACCGTCTGGCTCCCCTACATCGAGCTCTCTGTTTTGACAGTCTTGTTCTGCCAGGTCTTGTTGATTGGTTTGAAGCGGAGTGCCCTCAATATGCGGAAGACTTTGAATCAGAGTTGAGGCATCGACGAGATGGGGTTCTGTGCTTCAGTTCAAGTATAGTAACCTCTACCAAACAGACAGTTCTTAAGGATCAAGGGCCTTCATTCAATGATCTTTGAATCTCCCGCTGCATCTACTGAAGCAGGATGCGTCCATGCAGACCCCGTAAACACACCTTGTAAGCATAAAAGTAGACTTTGACGAATCTGCAAGGGCATAACTGCTTTTGAGGTATTAATATGCACTACAATCATTGCAAGTACTACCTCCCATCTCAACAGATATGCGTGTGGCCCAGATCAAACAGAATGAGGACATAGCTGACTAACATAAAGTGTGCAAGGTTCGGGAATTTTTCCGAAGAACTTTGAGAGTGGGGGCCATCTATGGAATACCACTAGAAGATCCGGTCCAGTTTTCTTTCCCGTTTCTAGTTTCTTGAGCAGAAGCTGGGGCATGCAAGATTATCAGTAGAGTCTTCTACAATTTGGATCGAGCTGCTAGCACTAGTGGCAGCTTCTTTACGAGAGTCTGAAAGAGAACAATATCAATCACTATCGAATCGCAACACCACTACAAGCTGCATAGAAGGTGCACGTTACACGCCAGGGTTCCCCGCAGTGCAGACAGACATAAGGACATCCTCCTTTGAGAGAGTACTAATGGGCCGTGAATATACACAAGTTTATCACTTTCATCATAATATTGCATATATACCTACTATGCATTCATATACATCTTCCTCAATCTACCATCATACCCCCTATACCCCCTATTCAACGCGTTCATCATCATCAATTCCCCTTGGTCCCGGGACTCCCTTACCCCTCTTTCAAAGTCCTCATCATCATCAATTCCTCTTGGGGACCCCAGGACCCCCTATACCCGCGTTTCAAAGCCTTCATCATCATCAATTTCTCTTGGGTACCGGGACCCCCTATACCCCCGTTTCAAAGCCTTCATCATCATCAATTCCCCTTGGGTCCCGGGACCCCCTATACCCCATTTCAAAGCATTCATCATCATCAATTCCTCTTGGCCCGGACTGGGAAGTCCGGGACCCCCTATATCCCCGTTTCAGAGCCTTCATCATCATCAATTCCTCTTGGGTCCCGGGACCCTCTATACCCTAATTCAAAGCATTCATCATCTTCAATTCCTCTTGGGTCCCGGGACCCTCTATACCCTATTTCAAAGCATTCATCATCTTCAATTCTTCTTGGATACCGGGACCCCTATACCCCCGTTTCAAAGCCTTCATCATCATCAATTCCTTTTGGGTCCCGGGTCCCCCTATACCCCGTTTCAAAGCATTCATCATCATCAATCCCCCTTGGAAATGATGATGATGAGGTTGAAGTATAGTATAAAGGCCCTAGCATCAGCCCCTCCCCCTTTCCCCCTTTATCTTCTACTTCATCATCATCATTCTCCTATATATCCCGCCATAGGCAAAAATGATGATGACTCGGATGAACAAGTTGAATCAGGGTATAAAGGTCCAAGCATCAGCCCCTCCCCCTTCCCCCCATATCTTTCTCTTCATCATCTTCATTTAGTATGTAAGTATATGTGATGATGATGAAGACATTGATTTGAGTATATAGGGATAGACAACAGCCGTCTAAGTACAATTGATGATGATGAACCTAGTGAATTAGCTGTATATAGGGGCTTAAAACCAGCTAAGTAGAGTTGATGATGATGAACCAAGTGAATCGAGGGTATAGGTTTAGGTTGACTGTATGGTTCGGCTTGTAGTCACGTTAACAAGATGTGTAACCCGGATTTCACAATGAATATTAATCAAATTTCCAAAAAATTAGAATGATGATGAAAATGACAGAGAATGTCTATTCTTGTAATCCTTCATTCCCCATTGGTACTTCCTCCCTCCTTTCCCCCTCCTTTTGGCTAGTGAGCGTTCAGAACATCTGTCGTCTGAATCAAGGTTCCAATTTAGAAGAAATCGATACCCATCATTTGGCAAAAAGTAGAGCAGGTCACATAATCATGGGTTTAACGGCAGGTTCTCAAGTGGTTGACGAAGCTTCTCCGTATGTGCCACCAGCCCTTGCGAGCTTTTTGAACACTCTTCTAGGAAGTTGTTCAAAGCGACTGCGCTGATCGAAGTGCATGATCAGAACCCTCGTTTTCAGAGTTGCTGCTCAAGGACCTCTGGTACATGCAGACTGGCAGCATGCAGAGTCTAGCTTCTTAGGGCGAGTATTTCTTCGTATAAAAAGCTGGGATAAACTTTGTGGAAAGTTCTTGCCAGATAGCTGGAAGATGTTTTGATTGTCCCGGTTCAAAATACCCTCTTCCGCACGACACCTCAAGCTACATTTGCGGTACGTTTCTCAGGCCATCATTAACGCATGCGACCACATGTTCCGTATAACTCTTCTGCAGAAGACGAAGAGCGAAAGGAGAAAAGAAGGAACAAGCGGGAAGCGCAGAGAAGGCGACGGGAGGAAACTCAGAGCCTTTCTTGGATTGCTAAAGCTTAACGAATGCCATGTCGGGCTTCTTTCTTCCCGTCACAGCGAGTCAACTTTGCAAGTTTAGCAGGTGCCTTGAACCACATGCAAGGCCAAGAGTTCGGCCAGAGCTGTAGATTGCTTATATGTTTTGTGGACTATTAATCCTGAAAGCCTTCGTGTCTTGTGCTAATCAGTCATCGGAGGCTGATGTACGGCATTGCATCGTTGCATGTCTGCAATGATAGTCACTTGCAGCATGATGGTTGAAATATGATACCGATGCACCACTCCTTCGTGCATATAGAGTAGTGCACTTATGAGCAGTATGTGCTGATTCGGGAAGTTGAATGTTTGCATCTGATGGAGCAGCAAGTTTATGACAGATACTTCGTAGCCGACGAGTCAAGCAGGAGCTCAAAGACCGTAGCAGATTCTGTATTTACTTTAGAAACTTTGCTTAAGCAGTAATTAGGTTGAATGCTTCGTGAAAATACTTACACGACGTACTTCAGCTCTTTTTAATTTCACGTGCTGGCTGCGAGTCTCACTTCCGGCTGACCTCCACACGAGCTCGATTGTGAAGTGCAAAGCACGTGGAAAAGGGTAGCCGACTAGGCACGGTAACTGCACGAGCGACCAGTTCCTAGCCAACGACTGACTAATCTTGTGGACCTTTTTGTTCCCTTCGAGACGATTCGTCATCAACTTATGCTTATCTTAACATGCATCTGTCATACTTTGAGACCACAGATAGCAAACATATGCATGCACTCAAATATCTGGCGTTCACTAAAAGGATGAGAGCTCATCTGCGATCCTTCAAATAGAAAAAAGTGGTCCAAGCAATTCTGTGGAAGTATAAACATCATAATACTCACCTCAGTTTACCCCGAGGAAAAACCTGCATGTTTGGACGTGGAACGAAGCGAAAATGCGTAGAGTTTAGCGGGTATCAGTCGACGCTGGCCAGCCCTGACGTCATCCTCTGGCCAGGCATTTATGATGGGATCAAACCTCTCATTGACATTGGCAAATGTGACTCCTGCGTTTTCAGGATACCACAACGGAACTTGAATGAAAAGCACAGGGCTCCCAACTCTTCCTAGGCCGCATTTGAAACACACAAGTAACTATTTGAACACCTAAGTACGCCATTTGTCTTTACATGGACCATTTCTCGATTTTTGCGTGTCATCCTTGCGCAGAGGACATGAAACTGCATCAATGGCGTTCGCGGTGGGCCGGTCGCGGGTCGGATGATCGGCGTCATGCAGCTGGCCGCGCTGCGCCGAACGCGGCCGCGACAAGAGCGCCCGCGATTGGCGCGCTGCATTCAGACTTTCAAGACGTCAAACCCCCAGACACAGCGCGCATCTGCACGAACGGCTAGTGAATTCAGCAGATTCTGCCTCTCTGAACGGTCCAAGATCTATTCCTGGAGCAACTTCGCGTCATTGTACAAGTCAGCGCATGTGGCGCACTAGCAAAGCGTTCGCGTCCATGAATCACAAAACCTTCCATTTCACTTGTCCCAGCACCTTGAACAACGCCTTCTAGGGAGTTCTGCGAGAACAGGAGCAGCAAACTTGACCACGATCAACATCTGTAGAGGAAGACTCTGTGGTGTAACGATTACGATTGGTTAAGCCTAACCTCGTTCTCGACAGGATTTCGTTGACCGCGAGTTAGCGAAACGGCGGTGGTTACGTCTTAACGACGCACTGCGTGGCTGTCTGCAAGACGCCGTAATATCCCGGATGGATCGGCTTCTGTGAGCCGATGTCACCGTTCAGGATAAGTTGTGTTCGGCTTCGCCGTTCGATGCAGCCAAGCTTATCT